TTTTTCACTCACCCCGATTGCGAATGAATTTGACGGAATTCATTTTGATATTTGGCGACGGGAACACCGGTGCAGTCAAAGATGATGAAGCGAGAGCTGGTGGTACCGGTATCGATCGCACCGATGAAGCGTTCCTTGAGATCGCCACGGGCCCGCTCGTTCTGCAGCAAGGAACGGTTGCCGTCGTTGGATTGATAGGCGTGAATATCGATATTAGGTTCATAGTCGTCTTCGACGACGGAATCCGACATGTCGGTCATATCGAAGGGATTCCTCATGGTGATGGAGTGGAGAGGATTTTTTTTTTCGTGCTTTTTTTTTTTCGAATTTATTTTTCACCCCTCCGTAAGAACGAACCAACGGGAAAAAATAGATGAGAGGGAATGGGAATTATACAAAAAATAAAACAGGAAAGAAAAAAAAAGGGAAAAAATAAACCAGGAAAAAAGGAAGTGGAGGGTATGGCGAAAAGGGTATATAGGTAAATGATTTGACGGGCGATGGGAGAGGGGAAGTCAAGATAAGAGAGGGGAGGAGAGGAGAGGAAAGAGAGGGGCAAATGACCGGAGTCGGCAATCTCTCGTAATCGGGTCCTTTGGGGGGGGTAGAGGAGGGAGGAGGGAAGGGAGAAGGGGAAAAACTCGAGGGAGGCGAAGAGTAAAAGAAGAGAGGAAGAAGGACAAGAATTAATTACGTTGCAATTGCCGTTCCAAGCCAAGAGGGGCGCGAACAAGGTGGAAATGGGGACGGATGACGCGGGGCGGGGAAGAGGAAGGGAAACCGGCACTACAGTCGGGGCGAATGATACAATCAACTATGGACACGATAGAGACCAGAGAAGTCAGGGAGAAGAGAGAGAAGGAGAGAAGAAGTGAAGAGGATGACGTGAAGGGTTCGAATGGAAGAAGAATCGATTGTCGGAGAGAGAAAGGAAGAGAAAGCTGGTTGGCGGAATTCGGGACAGGACCAGGTTGGAAAGTATGAGGTCACGCTGGAGTACGGTTGGTTGACTTGGTTAGGGTGGCGATCTATTCAATTCGACCAATACGGGAGATGGAGAAGAGAAGGGAGAGAGAAGAAAGAGAAGAAAGGAAGAGAGAGAGAGCGAGAAAGAACAGAAGATAAAGAAGAAAAGGAAGAAAGAAGAAAGAAGAAAGAAGAAAGACTTTATGTTCACCTCACTTTTGTTAAGGACTCCCATAGAAAAGTGAGAGGAATGTGAGTCTACTATTGTCTCTGCTTCTTCTGGAGAAGTGGGGGCGGTGGGGGAACAAGAGGTTTTTTTTTTTTTTTTTCTGATCAGACGACCAGGTTGGTCGTCAGCTTGTCTGTACTTCCTCCTTCCTCCTTCCCAGAGCTGTCTTGGTTGTCTTCTTGTTTCTGGTTCTTGGGACTACTAGTAGTCTAGTTCCCCCTTGCCGTCCTTCTTCAATCCCTACTAGTCAACCACTTGGCCCTTTTTTCCACCATCCAGAAGCATTTTCCTATTCTTTATCCAAGGAACCTCTGGCATTTCCTTCTGTTCTCTTGCTCCTTCTAGTCTGGTCGGTAGAGATCCGGCCCTAAGAATAGACCTGCACATGACCCTCAACTCCCTTCCCACTCCACTTCCTATGCTAACTCGTCTCAACTCCTATCTACTACTACCTCCTAGCTAGTATTACTATTATTTACTACTGCCTACTTACTAGGGATCTGGATGAAATTTGGGATCCTCACCTGACCAATTCCCATTCCCCTCCAGATCACTTCATGGATGCAGGATCAATCACTCCCCACGTCTAGCTACTATCTCCAACAAGTCACAGAAGTCCATCCATATGCAGTCCCTGCCAAGTCTTTCCTTCTCTTCTCTTTTCTGTTCTTTCTTCTTTTCCTTTTTTTTTTTTTTTTCGTCGATCGCCCACCTGACACTGTCCAATTTTTTCTCTCCCCCTCCCCACTATTCCCCTTTCAACCGCCCGGATCCAGTCTCTCACCTTCTAGACCCGGTCCAGTCCCTCTTCCACCTTCCACTTTTCTTCTCTCCCTTTCTTTTCTCAAGGTCATTTGGACAGTGGTGGCCCCCTGTTCATCAATCCTGTCGACCCCTCCCCAGTTTTAACCGCTCCCGGTTAGTCTGGATTATCATCATTCAGTTGAAGAAAATTAAAATTACAATTCTCAGTAAAGTCAAACAAACAAAATGAAGAATCGGCCCGGTCACTACCTAGCCGCTCGGTTCGGCCTGAGGGCACCTGTTGGTTTTGACCGTCTGGTCCGGCCCGATGTCTTGAGTCCGTAGTCCGTACAGTCATCTCTTACCTAATCCACATGACGTTATTCCCACCTCTTCCTGGTTTTCCTGGGAAACATGGATACAGTGGATAATGATGATGATGAGTACAATGATGTATGATGTATGACTCCAAAGCCCCTCCGATCGCCCTTCATTGTCAGGATCAACAACCCTGCTCCCGATCTTCCGTCTGGGGTCGACTTGGTACATGCTTTTTTTGGATTTCGGCCCAATGCTTGTCATAAAACCGGTTTCCCTCTGGGTTGGTGCCACTGCATTCGATTATCGTTCTTGGGTCTTCTATTCAGTCCCATGACTTGTCCTGAGCTTGGTCGTGGTCTTGGTCTTGCCAGGAACGGTGGGAGATCGACAGGTCACTGTATAGTTTCTAGTCCATGTTCTATATTATGTATTGTCACGGGTTCGGTCGATGGCCGTCCAGACTCGTTCGACTTTCCTTCTTGGGATATATGTATCCGTGTGCTATTTTATTTTTATTTTACCTTTCCTGTCTTCCTATAGATAAGCATGCTCAGCCACACTATATACATTTAGGGTTATATATATCAAACCTACACATTGTCCCATCCATCCATCCATCTGATAACCATAAGCTTAGACCACCGGATCAGATGACACGATCGCTCTCCTGATTCGCTGAGTAGTTGTAGTTTATTGCAACGACATTGGCCGCTGGTGATACAGCTTAGTTGAGTGGTTAGTACGATTTCTACTGATAGGATCTACTTATACACACCAGTATACTACCACTACAGACGCTGCATATACTCTATGATACTATATCATTCATTCAATACTGATCCATAAATCTAACAATGGATTTCTTAATATATACCAATATACGAACTAGTCTCATCAGTCTCTCGATTGTGACCACAGGTATACTTCCAACGAATTAATTGTTCGAGGTGATACCGACCTGTGCCTGGTTGCCGGGCGTACATGTCCTCCACTCCTCATCCATACCGGGTCTTTCTGGAGTCCCTCGTCCTTTCCTCTTGAACTGTCTCAATACATATCCAGCGTAGATCTACTCCTTCTGTAAACTGTCATATACGGAGACCAGACACTCAGGCAGATACAAAACAATCAGCATAATCTCGCTATATAAGTATCTAGACATGTCCACCAGCTGGTCCCTCCCCTTCGCCTTCATGCTCCCCACCCTCCACGCCGCCATCCTCCTCTCCACCACAAAACGGACCTCTCCCCGACGCCTCACCTACCTCCCAACCCTAGCTGGCGCAATCTACTGGCGCGTCTACCAACTCCCCCAAACCACCATTCACCCCTTCGCCAAATGCGCCACCGCCGTGCTCCTCCTCGTCAACGGCCTCCACTCCATCAACCTCCTCTTCCTCATCGACTCCGTCCCCGCGTCCCCCCACTTCCTCCCAGCAGTCAACCTCCTCCTCAACCTGCGCGGCATCGGTACCCCCTGGCAAGCACGTCACCTCCCCCACTGGCCCGCCGTCTTCGCCCACCGTCCCCCGTCCCGCCCCGCCTTCCTCGCCCGCCAATCCGCCATCTTCGTCTGGCAGTACCTCGCCGTCGACCTCATCCTAACCCAATCCGGTCGTGGCGTCGATCCCACTGCTCCCTACGATCTCAAGTGGCTGTTCTTGGACCCGTCGTCGACTCGCTGGGTCCCCCGCTTACTCTCCGCCCTTTGGACCCCGCTTATTCTCCTTCGTCTGGTCATTGATGGGCCCTACCGTTTCTTTTCCGTGGTCTTCGTGGCTGCGCGTGTTGTGCCCCCGGAGCAGTTTCCGCCGCTGTATGGTAGTATTTGGGATGCGTGGTGTTTGAGGAATGTTTGGGGGTGAGTTGTTCATATACCATCCATAGCCTTATATATCCTCCCCACCACTTTCGTGAAAAGAAGCAAAACATAAAGGAAGAAATAGAAAATACTGGCACCAACTCTTCCAACTTCCCCTCCGCATCCCTATCACAACCCTCGTCACTAGTTCCCGCCTAATCGCCATAACCCTCATCTTCCTCCTCTCCGGCCTCATCCACCACTTCGCCTCGCCCGCTATCGACACCCCATCAACCTGCTCCTCAGCCGCAGTCTCCTACTTCCTCGGCTTCGCCATCGCCGTCATCCTCGAGAATGTCTTCCCCCGTATCCTCTCTCGTCTCTCTCTCCCACGTATTATCACCTCAATAATCCCCCCAAAGCAAGCCATCCACGCCATCGGCTTCCTCTGGGTCGGAGCCTGGCTCGCTGCCTTGTCTCCGCTGTATATCGCTGACGTGGCGACCTTCTTCGCGACTCATCGGATGGGGTTACCGGGTGATGTGGTGGGGTTGTTGGGGGGGCCGTCTTGGTTGGTGGTTGCTTTGTTAGGGGGGTGGGGGGTTGGGTTGGTGGTTGTTTTTGGGGTTGAGGTTTGATATTTTCTTCTTTTTCTTTTTCTTTTGTCTGACTTCTTGATTTTTTCTTGTTCTATGGGGGTTGTAGGCTTTGTAGGCTTGAGTAGAGTGGTGAGTTGGTTCTGCTTGGGTGCTAGATTGTAGTATGATGTCTTTATCCGTAGCTAGCTAGGTAGCTACCAATCAGATGGATCTTGAAGAATCAGTGGTCAATCATGGATACGTAGTCAATCGGCGAAGGACTATTGACTTCCTACTTACTGCGATAGCTCCTGTCCTAATTTATATCGACAACCAGAATCACTTACTCTAGTGATCTTTTCGTGTGTTCTTACCTACCTACTGATCTATGCTTTCTAGCATGTAGATCGGTCTTTTACCATACCTGAGGACTGCATAGGTAGTAGTATCACAAGTATGGAGGCATGAGCTACTTCGTGGAAAATGCGGCCCAGTGTTTTTGACCTACCACCTAGTTGGAGTATCTCCCTACTATTGAGATTGAAACTGAGTATATTGTATTGGTCTTCGTGATGAGCCTGGATGGAACTCTGGGAATGTGAAGTCTACAATAATAAGCCTGGTAGTATAAGTAGTAGTGTGGAGTCTACAGAGATCGCATATGGAAACCAAGGTGTAGATACTACTAGGTACAACTCAACAAATGAAACACAGCGACTGCCGTCTGGATTCGCATATTCGAAACTGTAATCTACAAAATCATCTTCCTCTCCTTTTGCCGCGCCCTCCCGAATATACAGATATATCCTAGCTACCCATTATTGTAAATTACTCCACATCCTCAATGGCGGCCTGGCGGGCAGCCTCGGCCTCCTCCTTCTCCTTCTTCTTCAGGAAGAGCAGCGCGTTGACCTTGTCCGTGATGGAGTGCCCCTCCGACAGGCGGTTGTTGATCTGCTCGCGGCCGATGAGCGTCGCCACGATGCTGGCGCCGACGATGAAGGTCAGCACGAAGCGGTACATGCCGTACCAGTGCGGGGCGCGGCCGAACTGCGCCGCACGGGCGTCGTTGTAGTACAGGAAGGTGAACGCGAGGAACTGGCTGATCAGAGCGTACTCCACGGGGAACAGCAGAGTCGGCCAGGCCACCGCCGGGGCGATCACGCCCGCAGCGTACCGCTTGTAGCCGTACTTGCCACCGTAGCCGGCCCACTCCAGACCCCAGTGGATAGCACCGAGGAAGGAGAGGATCTAATGGGTAGTATTAGTATTGATATCACTGCGATTGTCATGGAGGGTACGCACCACAGCACCGTAGCCGACCTGGATCGGCTCCAGCATGTGCAGCATCAGCTCGGCGCTCTGGCCCGAGAGGAGGAGTCCCTCGCCTCCCATGGCGGCGGCGCGGTTGACCTCATAGGACAGGTAGACGGTCTGCATCGAGGTGGCCAGGTAGGGGATCACACCAGCCATGCCGAGGTAGAGAGCCTCCTTGGGGACCTCCGCCAGGCTGAAGGTGTCCTTGATGACTTTCTATCCAATCGTTAGTCTTGTCACGGGAACACCGACCCTCACAACCCTCTTTCATCAGATGACGTACCGCCTCGGTCTTCATACCAGCCATCACATCCTCATCACTCTCGGCGACCGGTTCCTCCTACACACAATTAGCCCGATCGATCTCGACCAAAAGCGATTTCCATCTTGAGCCTCACCTTGCTAGTCGAGGCATAGCGGACCAGAGCCGTGGTGACGGGCTTGCGAGCAGCCAGGGACAAGCTGGGCGAGGGACGGACGGAGCGAGCAGCCGACGTCAACGGGGCCTTGAACACGTTGCCGACCAGAGTCGAGCGGGCGACCGAGGCATTGGTGTGGGAGAGAGCCCGCAGGGAGGAGCGAGCAGCGGTGGTACGGTACAACATGGTTGATTGATGTATGTGCGTATAGCTAATTTTTTTTCAACATCCCCCGACATCCGGATTAGCAAACGGGCACATGGAAAGCTCGGATACGAGGTCAATGGAGGGGAGAACAAACCCAATTGAACTGGGAAGAGTGGAGAGTAGGCGCAAAGGGCACGACGAGGGTATACACCCAGGAATTGGCTCGAGTTGGACTCGTGGGAGTGGAGATTGATGGGGTAGGGGAAAGGAGGCTTTCAAGTTTCGAACCGACGATGATATTATTATGATGGAGATGACTGGTTGACTTGTCGGGCGGACCGCAGCGGCCACTTGGGATGGATGGCCTCAGGCTGCCCACGAGCTCGGATCGGAGACGAAAGCGGAAGCATCAGGGAGCTAGTGTTAGTCAGCTGCATTAGTCCTGTATTGGTTAGTGATAGGTCGGAACTAGGTCTAGTGTACAATCACGTGTAAAGCCCACGAGGCTGATAGCTGACTCAGCGACAAGGGCTGCAGCCCTAGCTGGACTGCGCTGGACTGCAGGTACCTTGGCTTTCTAGGGGACTCCCGTACACGGTGGAAGTACCATACTGTTTTGCTGTAATAACCCAGTCCGACCGACGTCACTCCGACCTTTCTCTTGCTCTTTTCTTCTCCACCGCGTCACTCTTCCCCCCCCTTTTGTTGGTCTTCCCCAGAGTTTGGGATACAACGGACGACTCACGACAACAATACGCCCTTCTTTACGCTTGACTAATTTGAGGTATTGACTTTTCCCTGTTGGTAATTATTCTTCTGTTGTATACTTTATACTCAGTATTGACATCCGTACTCCAGAGGTCCGCTTTCGTTACGATTGGTCGACCGGCCTCCTCTCATACCTGGAAACCCAGCCCAACGCAGTTTCCGACCAACTCTTCCCCTCCTCATCGCCATCACCGCCATTTTCCCACTCTCCGATCAAACTTCGATCCTTCGGGGACAAAGCTTTACCTTCGCATCGACTTCCCCCCCTTTTCTTTTTTCCTTTCCCGCCCCGTTTATTTCTGACCGAAATCACCGTCGCGATCCGTCTACCTCCCAGATCGACCGGCCCGCAATCGGTATCGCGTGCATGCTTGGTCGCCCCTGCATGGATCTGGTGTCTACCGTCGGCGAGTGGATCTAGACCTTGCGCATGTACGTCGTCCCCGGAGCATTCGTCTTGTTTAATTCCATCGATGATCCTCGATTCTACCCCTCCCAATCTCGCGGACTGACCCGTGTGCCACTAGGCTGGCGTCTTTTGCGAGACCCTTGCTGTCGACCACCCCGCGCGTGAGCAAGACCCCGCCATCATGTTGGAAGGGCTGGTCGCCAACCTGCTGAACCGGACCCTCGGAATCTACGTCAAAAACTTCGATGCGACCCAGTTGAATGTCGGGATATGGTCCGGTGATGTCAAACTGCGGAACCTCGAGCTGCGGCGGGAGGCGCTCGATCAGTTGCGCCTCCCGCTCAACGTTGTCGAAGGTCATCTCGGCGAGCTCACCCTATCGATCCCCTGGTCCAACCTGAGGGGAAAACCGGTCAAGGTCGATATTGAAGATGTGTTCCTTCTCGCGGCCCCCAAGGAGGATGCCGATTACGATCCGGACGAGGAGGAGCGAAGAGCCCACGCGCTCAAGATGGAGAAGATTGAGAGCGCGGAGATTTTAAAAGAACGCAACTCCGAGGGGCTGAGCCAGGAGGAGCAGCGTCGGAACCAGAGTTTCACCCAGAGTCTAGTGACCGCCGTTGTCGATAACCTCCAGATCTCCATCAAGAACGTCCATTTCCGCTACGAAGACTCCCTCGCCTCACCGGGGCACCCGTTTGCCGCCGGTGTAACCTTGAAGGAACTCAGTGCCGTGAGCACCGACTCCGAGTGGAACCCTACCTTCATCCAGTCCACCTCGGCCACTACACATAAGCTGGCGATCCTGGGCGCCTTGTCGGTGTATTGGAACACCGATGCGGAGCTGTTGGGTACGGGTCGCGGGTCCGACGTGGGTGCTGTGGCCCAGGGCACGAGCCAGGCCGAATTGGTGGAGAGGTTGAGGGCGGGCATCGACGAGGACGAAAACCACCAGTTCATGCTGCGTCCCGTCAGTGGACGCGCCGGCTTGGAATTGGACAAGTCGGGAGAACACGACCGCCCCGCCATCAAGACACGGCTGCTCTTCGATGAACTCGGGTTCGTGCTGGACGACGAACAGTACCGGGACGCCCTGATGCTCGTCGACCTCTTCCACTACTTCATCCGCCACCAGGAATACAAAAAACTTCAACCCAAATCCAGCCCCAAGGAGGCCCCGCGCGCGTGGTTTAGGTTCGCCGGAGAGGCCGTCCTCAGCAAGATCCGCGACCGGAACCGTCGGTGGACGTGGGCTTACATCAAAGAGCGCAGGGACGATCGGATCGCCTACATCGACCTGTTCAAGAAGAAGAAGCGCGAAGAGTATTTATCCCCGGCCGAAGCGGATGAGTTTGACCGCCTGCAACGGAAGCTCAACTACGAAGATATACGGTTCTGGCGATCGCTGGCGCGGAACCAATTGCGCAAGGAAAACGTCGGCGTCAAGAAGCCCCAACGCGAGCAGACATGGGGCGAGTGGATCTGGGGTACCAAGCAGGAGGAGTCGGAGGACACTACGATAACCGACGAGCAACGACAGGAGTTATACAACGCGATTGACTGGGACGAAAAGAAAGCCATCGCAGAAAGCGTCGACGTGCCAAGAGAGTGGGTGAAGCTCCAGGTCAACTCCGGTCTCAAAGCCGGCAGCTTCACCCTGAAGCGGGATCCCCACGGCAAGGCCAACGAGGTCATGAAGCTTGTCTTCGATGATTTGCGGGCCAAGGCTATGCAGCGGCCCGACTCATTCTTCATCGACGTGGGTCTCGGAGGGCTGAGAGTGTACGATGGCACCACGGAAGGTAGTCTGTTCCCGCAGATTGTCAAAGTAAAGGACTCGCTCCCGGTACCGAAGAACCGCCTGTCACAGATCTCCGGCAACGAGGAGCTGGAGTCCGAAGTCGGAGACAACTACCTCGAGGACGAGGATAGCTTGTTCCATCTGCAGCTGGAGAAGAATCCCCTCGAAAGCGACGCCGACTCTGTGGTGAAAGTCAAGCTCAAGAGTATCGAAGTGATCTACAATCCCAAGTTCATCTTCGAGATCTTCCGCTTCTTTGAACCCCCGGAGACACATATGGAATCTATCGGGGCCTTGTTGGATACCGCCGGGGCTACTGTGGAGGGCATCCGGCAGCAGACTCGTGCGGGCCTGGAATTTGCGCTGCAGGAGCACAAGAAGGTGGACGCGCAATTTGATATCCATGCCCCGCTGATCATCGTGCCCGAGAGTATCACGCACGAAAGCTCTCTCTGTCTGATCCTCGACGCCGGTCATATCAGCGTCAGCAGCGAGTTGGTGGACCGGCAGACCATGAGAGACATTCAGTCCAAGCAGAAGCGGCAGTACGACGAAGGTGATTACAAGGAGCTCGAACACCTGCTGTACGACAGGTTCCTGCTCAAGCTGGACTCGACTCAGGTCCTTATTGGTCCTGGCATCGACGTCACGAAATCTCAGCTGGCGTCAGACAGCGCAGACCGCAACCTTCACATCATCGACCGCATCAACGTGGATTTCGTCCTGGAGATGTGCATCGTCCCCAAGGTGACGGAGCTTACCAGAACACGCATATCCGGCCACCTCCCGGAGTTACATGCATCCATGTCCGACATGAAGTACAAAGGCCTCATGAAACTAATTGGCATTGCATTCCCGGAGTACGAGGAGGGCCCTGACCAGCAAAACGCCCCGGCGGTCGCCCCCGAAGATGACACGGCCAATAGGCCTCGGTCGTCGTCATTTGTGCCGCTAGCCATCAGAGAACTTCCCGCGGTGGACGAAGACTCAGAAGACGAGGAGAGCTCGGACAGAGACCAGCCGAATCAGAGTGTTGACTCAACGAACCTCCACCGGCGGGATTTTGAATTTAAATTCACCGTCGGCCGTCTCCGTGGCTCGCTGTTCCGCTCCGACTCCAACGACCCGCTGCGTGACCACCTGCTAGTGGAACTGGTTGCCGAAGGGTTTATGCTGGATTACTATAATCGACCTTTTGATATGGTGGCCGAAATCGTTCTCAAGTCTCTGAGTGTGGACGACTACATAGAAGAGAATCCAGTCCCCGAGTTTAAGAGGATTCTCTCGTCCAAAGGATTCAACGCGGATGAAGACAGGGACCTGTTCCACCTCAAGTTTGTCCGAGTCAAGCCTGAGTCTCCGGAATTCCACTCAACCTACGAGGGTGTCGCGATGAACCTGGATATATCCGTGTCAACCATCAACCTCGTGGTTACCCGGAAGACGCTTCTAACGCTACTGGACTTTATCCTGCTCACCTTCACGAACCCAGACGAACCAAGTGCCCAGGGTGCTCCATCAGATCGGGCGGTACAGGATACTACCGCTGTCGAACAGAAGCCCGACCAGAGCGGAAAGATCCGTATCAAGGCCGACATGAAGAGTATTGCTCTGATTCTCAACAATGATGGGGTCAGACTGGCAACGCTGACGCTCAACACCGCCGATGTGGGGATCGTCCTGGTCGGCAATTCTATGCTCATCCAGTCTCGCATTGGCAGCTTGACCTTGATAGACGATGTCAACACGGGTGCGCCAGAAACCTCGGACCTGCGGAGGCTTTTGACGATCGAGGGTGATAACTTCGCGGATTTCAAGTACGAGACATTTGACCCGGAGTCCCCTACTTACCCTGGGTACGATTCGGAGGTTTTCCTGAGGTCTGGGTCTATCAAGATCAATTTCTTGGAAGAACCCTACCGGAAAATCATCAATTTCCTGGTGAAATTTGGCAAGATGCAAGCTATCTTCAACGCCGCTCGTCAAGCTGCGGCGAACCAAGCCAATCAGCTCGGCGAGAATGCGTCACGCATGAGGTTCGACGTCGTAGTCATGACTCCCATCTTGGTCTTCCCAGGTGCCATGAGGGAGAACCATCCGCGCGATACGATCACCGCGCATCTTGGTGAGATCTATGCCAAGAACGAGTTCGTGCCCTTGGACGAGAAGAAGGACAGCCCCGCTGTCAACGTGATCTCATCCGGTATTCGCAATATTCGCCTGACCTCCAAGTTCCATTTCGATGGTGGCTCGGTCGAGGAGCTCGAGATGATCCAGAAAGTAAACCTGGACTTTAGTATATGCTACCTAGAGCACCAGGCGGACAACCCGCGTCCAGATATGGAGGTTGAGGGGTCATTGTCGCCGATCAACCTTCGGATCTCGCAGAAGCAACTGAAATTCCTGCTGGATTTGTCGACAACGGTACCGGGGGCATTTGTAACCGATACCGAGCAGCAAGTCCTGGAGGCCATGGAAGCTCTTCCTTCGTCGCTGACCGAACCAACGCGAGAAGCAGAGGCAGTGCAAAGCCGCATGAGCTTAGAAAGACGGTCGACAGATGCAGCACCCAATGAGGAAACGTGGGTGCGACTCGACATGATCTTCAAGGTAGATAGCGTCGGGTTGGAACTCATCCTTGCGAACGATGAACCTGTTGGCCGCCTCGAGGACTCAAGCCTATCCAAATTCTCCCTCAACGACACCAGAGTCAAGCTGCGTATGTTGACGGATGGCTCCTTGGATTCCGAATTCTTGATACATTCCCTGTCAATCAGGGACAGCCGCAACCAGGACACCAACAAGTTCCGAAAGATCATGTCGTTGATCAACAACGACATTCAACAGCAATTCATGGCGAGCATCTCGATGTCCCCGGGACCTGACAAGCATCTCATCGCAATGTTGACCATCGACAGTCCCCGAATTATACTTGCCTTGGACTACTTATCCGCGTTGCAGTCGTTTACCAGCACTGTATTCGCATCGGAAGATCTAGTAGAGGAACCGGAGACCGATGACCAAGAGGAGTCGGAACCTAGATCGAGTACTGCAGAAAGCGCAGATGGTACTACTACCGCACCATCAAGCGTGGATGGAACCACTTCTGTCGGGCACATGACCGTTTCATTCCGAGTGAACCTCGTAGATGCTCAGATCATAACCATTGCCAATCCTGGCATCGCGCACACCGAAGCTATTGTGCTTGGAACGAAACAGGTGCTCTTTTCTCACCAAAATGTGTCTACCCTCCAGATCAAGCAGGTGGGCATGTTCTTATGCCGCATGGACAAGTTTGAAACCAGTAGACTTCGGATTCTGGACGATTTCACCCTAGAGATGTCTATGGATAGTCGACCGCAGGAGAGAGGCTCGTCTTTGACCTCTATCAACGTGCACCTTGATCCGCTTGTTTTGCGACTTTCACTCCGCGATATCTTGATGGCGATTCAAATCGTGAACAAGGCCTCTGAAATGACCGCTCGGAGGACCCAACAAGCTCAGACCGGCCAGTCTAAGAGAATTTCCGACAGCAAGGCCAATGCCTCTAAAATTAAGAGAAAGTCTGTTGGCAGACCGCCTTCAACGGCCGTTGTTCCAAGGGCTCGGCAAGGTTCCGGCGAGGAGGAGGATCTACATCTGAGTGCGCAACGCTCAGCGGTGTTGAAGCGCGAGGAGCTGAATGTCCACGTTGATGGTATCAGAGTCATCCTCATCGGTGACCTGCATGATCTCCCCTTGCTCGACTGGAGTGTCAAGGGATTTTCGGTGGATGTTCGTGACTGGTCATCCACACTCAGCGCGGAAACAAACTTCGACACATTCATCAACGTGTATAATTTCTCCAAGTCTGCTTGGGAGCCGCTCATAGAACCCTGGCAGCTGGGATTCCACATGGCTAAGGAAACACATCCGGATATCCTGTCTATGGACGTTTATTCCCACAAGTCGCTCGAGCTCACTCTCACCTCGGCTACCATTGCTCTGGCGTCGAAGTCATTCCAGTTCCTGTCCACCGATGAAGATGTCCTCTCCAAGCCGAGAGGTGCTGATGCGCCGTACCGCATTCGCAACCACACTGGGTTTGATCTCCATGTCTGGGCCGAGAGTACGGGGGATGAAGAGGGACCAGCTGCTCGGCTGGACGACGGCGAGGAGTATCCCTGGAGATTTGAGGACTCGACCGCTATTCGTGAGACCTTGACACCGGAAGGCCACGCTGGGCTTGTTGGAGTGAAGCTCGAAGGCAGCGGATTCGAGAGCGTTGGCCGTATCCCCGTTGTGAGGGAGGGCGAGGTTGTGTACAACTTGAAGCCGAAGAAGGATAGTGTGCTCCACCGCCTCCTCGTTGAAGTCAAGCTCGGAACCGACAACGTGAAGTATATCACGTTCCGCTCACCGCTGGTTGTTGAGAACAATACCCAGATCCCGGTGGAACTTGGCATCTTCAGCCCTGGCGACGGCCATCTTCTGAAGATCGAGAAGATTCTGCCTGGCGACGCTCGACCTGCGCCTGTGGGAGCAGCCTATATGCATTCTCTCGTCGTACGACCAGACCAAGGCTTCGGCTATGACTGGTCGAACGAGCAATTATACTGGAAAGACCTCATGCGACGGCCCACACGGACGTTGAAGTGCTTGAGTGAGAGTGGCCAACAGGCGCCTCCATTCTATTTCCAGATGAATGCCACATACAACAAGCGAGACTCTTTGACAAGCGTCTATCCTTACATGCGGATCCGGATCTTTGCCCCGGTTGAGATTCAAAATCTGTTGCCGTATGACTTCAAGTACCGCATATACGACAAGAACACGCGGAAGGACTGGACGAATTTCTTGCGTAAGGGCGGGGTCAGCCCCGTTCATGTGGTTGAGCTATCGCACCTCCTGCTTCTCAGTGTCGACATGGAGGACACGGTGTTTAAGCAGAGTGACTTTGCGATTGTCAACGGCAACGCGCAAGATTTCCGAAGGGAGCATACGCTTTCTCTGAAGGATGAGCGTGGCATCCAGCTGAAATTGAAACTCCACTATTTCAATGTACCTGACAGTGGAGGTGCATTCAAGGTGTCAGTTTACAGTCCGTACCTCGTCTTGAACAAGACAGGCCTGCCCATGGAGATCCAAAGCAAGGCCTTCTTGCAGTCGGCTCGATCAGCAGCAGGCCAGGGACTAAGGGCCGATTCGAGACATGGCGGACGCTCGCTTCCCTACATGTACTCCTACCAAACCGAAGACCCGAAGAACCGGTCTATGCTGCGGATCGGAGAATCCGCCTGGAGTAGGCCTCAAAGTTTCGAGGCCATCGGGAGCACTTTCGAGGTTATGCTGCCAGATAGACATGGGAAGTCTGAGTTCCATGCCGGCGTGTCTGTTGCCGAGGGTGAAGGCAAATACAAGCTGACCAAGGTTGTCACCATCGCGCCGCGGTTCGTCCTCAAGAACAAACTCAACGAAGATGTCCTAGTGCGGGAACCTGGCTCCTCGAATGTCCTGACTATCAAGAATGGCGAGCTCATCCCTCTCCATTTCTTGCGCCAGGTTCCGGAGAAGCAGCTTTGTCTCTGCTTCCCGGGCGTGAACAATCAGTGGTCCTCCCCGTTCAACATCGCGGATGTCGGAACTGTCTATGTCAAACTTGCCAAGGCGAATCAGCGCCAGAAGCTCGTCAAGGTTGAAATCATCGTGGAGGGGGCGACGCTATTCCTTCATTTCAACATCGAGACGCGGAATTGGCCGTTCTCAATGCGGAACGAGAGCGACATGGAGTTTATCTTCTACCAAGCAAATCCGAGCCTGGAAGATGACGAGGATGATCGAAGTAACGGCTGGCGACCTATTCGCTATCGGTTGCCCCCTCGAAGCATCATGCCATACGCTTGGGATTACCCCGCGACGAAGAACAAGTCGCTCGTCCTGAGCTGCAATGGCAAGGAAAGACGTATAAAGCTTGCCGAAATCGGCAACTTGATTCCGATGAGGATCCCCCCGGCTCAATATGGCGAACCGCAAAAAATCATCGACATCAATATCGTCGCCGACGGGCCTACGCAGACTTTGGCCCTGTCGAACTTTAAGCAGTCCAAGAGTATGTATCGGCAGCAGAAGGCCCAAAGCTCGCAGACCAGCGTGAGCACCGGATTTGAGGTCAAGGAGCTGGATTCCGATGTCAACTTCAAGGCCCAGCTCCGCCTTGGGGGGATTGGTGTCTCTCTGATCAATAAGAACCTGAAGGAGCTGCTCTACTTGACGTTCCGCGAGATTGAGATCAAGTTCAGAGAGTCGAGGGTCTACCAGACCATGAGTACGACGATCAAGTGGATCCAGATTGACAATCAGTTGTATGGAGGTATCTTCCCCATCCTGCTGTATCCCAGCGTGGTGCCGAAGACTGGGAAGGAGATGGAAGCGCATCCCATTTTCCATGCTATGGTCACGCGGGTCAAGGACGATTCGTATGGCGTGCTCTATATCAAGTATGCCACCTTACTGCTTCAGCAGATGACGCTCGAGCTTGATGAAGATTTCGTGTTCGCGATGCTTGATTTCGCCAAGATTCCCGGAGCGTCTTGGTCGGAGGAGCAGGAGGGCAGGCTCTGCGATGAGGATCTGAATATCCCCGAGCCGCAGGGCAAGGGCGTTGGCCAGGACGTGTACTTCGAGCTTCTTCACCTGCAACCCATGCAGCTGGACATATCGTTTATGCGCACCGAGCACGTGAACGTCGAGGACACGATGCAGCCTTCAAACCCATTGATGTTCTTCGTCAACGTGATGACCATGTCGATGGGCAATGTCAACGACGCGCCCGTTCGCCTGGATGCTCTGATGCTGGAAAATGCCCGTGTCTCCCTGGGTGTTCTCGTCAGCAATATCCAGCGCCATTACACTCAGGAATCCCTTGGGCAGGTGCACATGGTTCTTGGGTCTGCCGACTTCCTGGGCAACCCGGTGGGCCTATTCAACAACATCAGCTCTGGCGTTGCTGCCATCTTCTACGAGCCATACCAAGGCCTGGTCATGACGGACCGGCCCCAGGAGCTCGGCTACGGCATTGCCAAGGGCGCCACCAGCTTCGTGAAGAAGTCCGTCTTCGGTTTCTCGGACAGCATGGCGAAACTGACGGGCAGCATGTCCAAGGGTCTTGCCGCCGCCACTCTCGACAAAGAGTTCCAAGACCAGCGCCGCATGTCCAAGTCTCGGAACCGTCCGAAACATGCGCTGTACGGCATCACGGCCGGCGGGAATGCGTTCGCAACCAGTCTCGCCAGCGGCATAGGCGGGCTCGCACGGCACCCACTGCAAGGCGCCGAGAAGGAAGGCATCCAAGGATTCTTCAAGGGCGTCGGCAAGGGTGTCCTAGGCCTAGCGACCAAGCCAGCCATCGGAGCCTTCGACCTCGCGTCGAACCTCGCCGAAGGCGTCCGCAACACGACCACCGTGTTCGACGCAGAGGGGCTAGATTGCGTGCGCCTAACGCGCTTCATCGGCACAGACGGCGTCGTCCGACCTTACTCACAGCGGGAGGCCCTCGGCCAGTTCTGGCTCAAGACGGCCGACGACGGACGGTACTTCAACGAGGATTACATCGCGCACCTGGAACTCCCCGGACGCGACATGCTAGTCATGTTGACGTACAAGCGCATCATGCTCGTGCGCACCAAGAAACTCCAAACGGAGTGGGACATCAACCTCACGGACATCCAGACCATCTCCAAGGAGCGCACAGGCATGAGTATCACCCTCAAGGGTGGCGCCAACGGTCCCTTCATCCCTGTGCAGGACGAGAGCGCCAGAAACTGGCTGTATCGCCAGATTGCCGTTGCCGTTAACGCGTTCAACGAGAAGTATAACGGTCGGTAGAGGTATTATATCTGTTTTCTCTACTGTATACCTGTCTGAATAGATAAATGGGGTTGTTGATTGACAACCGCCGGAACTGGAGACAGGGGTGAAGATGATATGACAGTAACGAGCTTTTTTTTTGTCATTGTTATTGATTTTTTTTCTATTACGATTGTGGGCAAAATTCTAGCATCATACTTGTTCAGATGAGATTCACCTTTTTTCGCCTTCATATTTTTTTTATCGCTTTTTGTCTCTTTTTTTCTTATTCACTTTTTGTTCCTTGGATTGTTGTTTTGCGTGTGTTGTGTATATACTTAGCACTTCATTCTGCTTAGGCGGTCTTTGATTGAAATGATTTGTCTCACTTTTACATTCTAGCTGTGTGTTTTGGTAGATGGTAGATATGTATGCTCTATTTATATACGAATGATCCTATCAGTACCTAGATATCTTGAAGTTCATTGATAAATGGGAAGAGAGAAAGAGATAGATAGACAGGTATATGTATAAGCCTAACAACTCAAACCAGATAGAAAGATACTACAATACAGGCGCTGGATTCTATCACCATCCCGAACACAAGTAACCAATATGATCAGGTAGCACACAAATGTGAAAAAAGACAAAACCAGATAGAAAAAGAAAAGGATATCGTAACCGTCATCAAAAGCACCAAAACAAAGTAAACAACTCAACCGGAAAATCCGAACAGAAGAGAAGAGAAGAGAAAGGGAATTACTTCCCCTCAGCCTTCTCGACCAACCTCTCCTCCAACCCCATCGGTTCCCAGACCTCTTTCGCCCGCTTGTTCTGCACCCAGACGACGTCGCCTTGCAGGTAGGCCACGACGCCGCCTTTGCCGGTTGCGCTGGCGGTAATGCGGAAGAGGGGCTGGCCGTTTTGCGGGTGCGCTTCGCGGAGGGGGAGCATGATGAGGCCTTGCTCTTGGCACCATGATTCCAGGATGTCTTTGAAGGAGATTTCTTCGACGGCTCGGGGTTTGTGTTCTGCTGGTAGTGGTTGTGGTGGTTGGTGGTCTTGTTTGGGGAGGTCTGAGGGGGTGGTGGTGGTGGTGGTGGTGGTGGTGGTTTCGGGAGCTGTAGGCGGGGGAAGTTCGGTAGCGGCGCGATCGCCGAGGCGGGAGGCGAGGTCCATTGAGCGGAGACCCTTGTTCCATTCGTCGTCGACGATGGTCAGCTCGTTGAGGGGGGCTGGGATCTGGCCGCGCCACCAGGAGAACCACTCGGCGACTTCGTCGTAGTTGGGGTCGTTGGTGAGCCAGATGTAGAGGATGTGGTGCCATTTGGGGAAGAACTCGGCGACGAGGAGGAGGCCCAGGACGTTGGGCTTGAAGAAGGGCTGCCATTTGAGGACGTTCTCGAGGGCCGTGAGGTCCTGGTCTTGCGGGTTGACGTCGAAATCCTCGCGGAGGTGGCGGGCCAGCCGCGGTAGCAGGTGGTTGCGGAGGCAGACGTCGAACTCGGAGCCTAGCGCGTCGCGCCACAGCTCGATTCCGCTGATTAGACCGCGGCTGAGGTCCCAGGTGTCTAGGACGACGCGGAACTTGCGCTTTGCGTCGGATAGGAGCCCCGTTGCTTGCTTCGGGTTCGTGTGTCGGTCGTCTAGGTATTGCAGCCAGGTGAAGAGCCACCAGGGGAATCGGGCGCTGTTTGCGGGTGAGGATCCGTGTCGTCGGCTGCTGGCGCGGGGCTTCCATGCCTTCAGGCCGCCTGCGAGTTTGGGCACGACTAGCTGGTCGAGCACGTTGGCGTAGACGAACGGCGGGAGCAGATCTTTCCAGGCGACGAGGAGGGAGGTGGCGGGCGACGAATCGAACACGTCCCACTCGTTGAGAAGCGCTGAGCGCACGCGGGGGAGCCAGAGGGTGTAGATCATGGTCTCGTAGGGGGTGGTCGACTGTCGCTGGGTTGGCTCGCTGTTCTTTTTTCGCGTTAGGAGGGGCCGGAGACGGTGGAGATGGGATACGAGGAAGGTCGGCTCCTGGAGCGGCTCCCAGTCTTCCATCGCCCGACGGAAGAGCGGGTGCAGCGCGGCCACCGCAACCTCGGGCAGCCGGTATTCGTCGATCTCGGCCTGGTACTTGGTCTGTAAAGCCTCGAGCTTGTCGGTGACCTGGTCGAACTGGACCCGCGTGTCGTCACTTTGGACGAGCTCCAGCTGGCCGATGGCCGTTACGAGCTCCGTCAGCTGATCGGATCGGAGCTGCTGTGTGTCCATCTGCTCCACGATCTGGGCCTCCTCCAGCTCGATGAACCGCTTTCTCTCCGTCAGGCCCTTCCATTCGTCGGCGAAGGCTTCCAGGTCGTTGCGCGCCCGACGGGCGATCTTCAGCGCCTCCCCTTCGCCCTGATTGACGAACTCCTGGGACACCATCAGACCGGCGGTCGACGTCAGCACCCGCTGCTCTTTCCCAGTCGCATCGACCAATGACTTGAGCACATTGGGCACCTCCAGACCCTCCATGTCCGCTTCCATCTCTCGGGCCGTGCGGAATTGGGGTTTCGGCCGCGCGACCGGCGTTCCTGAACCACTGCGAGCCTCCTTCTTGCGCTCCGCCTTCTTCCTCTGCCGCTTCTTGCGTTCCTCGTCGGAGCTGTCCTCCAGTTTCTCCCCGCGCTGAGCAGCAGCCCGTTTCTCTTCCTCGCGCGCCTGCTTGGTCTTCTCGCGGACCACACCCAGACCGGCGCCCGAGGGACGGGCCTGAGCCTCGATGGGGTTGACGATACCCTGGCCGCTAGATCCGAGACCTTGTCCCTCGACATATCCCATTTTGGCCATCATGCGCGCGGCGAAGGAATTGGCGCCTCCGCCTCCGCCTCCGCCTCCGCTCGGGGTGCTTCTTCCGGATGGCATGTTGCCCCCATTGTTCTTCCACAGATTGCGACGACCACTCCCCAGACCGCCCATCGATGCGGGGGGAGACTCGGAGCGAGAGGATGCACGGGCGAACCCGCGAAAGCCCATGGTCGGGCGGGCGTCTTCTTCGGAGTCGGAGCTCATGTCGGCGACTTTGCGCTTGTGACCGGGGGTGGTGGAGGAATCCATCAAGAGGGCCGTGTATAGACAGTCGACGGATGTAACGAGAGGAAGAAATCGATCATACACCGTGAGTTGACGCCATGGAGAGGGATGAGGGCAAAGGATGATGTCGCCGTCTTTCGCATCGACCGATGTCAATATCAAAACGACCGAGGCTGAGTCAGCGGGATAGCTGTCTGCTGAGTCACTTCTGCGTCAGCGGCTCCACACGTGCAGCAACAACAATGATGTAATGGAATTCGATACTCTTCCCCGTCTACCCGAGGAAGTCAGCTCTCCATCCTTGTCCTCACCTTTTTTTTTTCCGTTCCTCCCCTTCTCTTATAACATCCTTCCTCTCTCCCAATCTGTCAATTCCCCCCCTCTTACTATTCAACTCATTCTTATTTCCCCATTAAATCTCTATAATTAATCATGGCTGCCTCTCTTCTTCGCACCTCCACTCGCTCCGCCCTGCGCGCTGGAGCTTCGGCTGCGCCCAGAGCCGCCGGTGTCGCGGGCACCACCTTCTGCCGCGGCAAGGCCACTCTGCCTGACCTGCAATGTACGTATCCTGGACGAGTATCTCCAGTGGCCTGGGCCGTGTAACCTGGGAAAGAAGAGAGGGAAAAGATGGTGATTGCTAACCACCGTAGATGACTTCGGCGCCCTGGAGCCGTCCATCTCGGGCAAGATCATGGAGCTCCACTACAAGAACCACCACCAGACCTATGTCAACAACTACAACGCGTCCGTCGAGAAGCTGCAGGAGGCCCAGCACAAGGGCGACATTGCCGCCCAGATTGCGCTGAAGCCTGCCATCAACTTCAACGGTGGTGGTCACCTCAACCACAGCCTGTTCTGGGAGAACCTGGCTCCCAAGAGCGCCGGCGGCGGCGAGCCCCCCTCCGGTGCCTTGAGCAAGGCCGTCAACGACAGCTTCGGCAGCGTTGAGCAGTTCCAGAGCCTGATGAACGCCGCGCTGGCGGGCATCCAGGGCAGCGGCTGGGCCTGGTTGGTCAAGGACAAGCAGACCGGCGGCCTCGCCATCAAGACCTACGCCGTATGTTGATTCTAATTGAAATGGAGAAGACCGGGAAGGGACCATGACGCTAACTTCCTACAGAACCAGGACCCCGTTGTCGGCCAGTTCGAGCCCCTGCTGGGTATTGATGCGTGGGAGCATGCCTACTAGTAAGTGATCCCCGCCCCCCCATCTAGTTTATAAACCAACAGAACGCTAACGTCTCCCAGCTTGCAATACCAGAACCGCAAGGCCGAGTACTTCCAGGCCATCTGGGACGTGGTTAACTGGAAGGCCGTGGAGAAGCGTTTCTCTTAGAGAACAGCGGGATGAGTAATGTGGTGTAAACCAGGAATCTGTGTCATAGGAATTTCAGCAATCTAGCGCTCTTCATTGGACTTGCATATCGTAGGATATCTCCCCATTGGGGATATCATTGTCGTCATCCCGGAAGTTTTTTCCCCCAAGACAACCGCCGCCGATCCATCCGGGCTTATGTCAGCCACCTGTTTTATCCAGCTTTATGCTTGGCGATGCCTAATCCGTTATACAAGCATAGATAATCTTATCCCTCTTCGTCTTCGCCTCTGCTCCCTGTTTCTTCTTCTTCTTTTTCCTCCTTTCCCCTTTCCTCTCAACCTCCTACTCCCCCCCCTTTTGCTTACCTCTCCATGGCGGCCGATAGCCCCGGTGAACGACGTGGCTTTCGAGCCTTTTTCGCCAGCGCACTCCGACCCAAGAAATCCCGCCAGGTCCTGCGCAAGGGCGGCTTCAGTACCTCCACGCCAGATCTTCGACCCTCCACCAGCAGCAGCAGCGTATACACGGCCCCCGGCGCCCGCTATCCCGACGATGACGTGCCTCCAATGCCCTCCCTGGCCCCGCTCGAGGCTCACCGCGCCAAGTACCGCGCGATCAATGCCGGCAAGGATACCCAGCTGGGCGAGACCCGCGATCCCACGGCCATGCTGCACGCCCTGGGGGTCCAGGAACTTGAACACGACCCCAATGCGCCGTACGACGTGCATGACCACCGGCCGCCGGGCGAGTCCGACATAGCCAGCCTCTCCGCCGACCTGTGGCAGCACATCGCCGACGAACTCAACCCCGCTGACCGCGCCAGTCTCATCTTCGCCAGCAAGACCCTCCTATCGCGGCTAGGCCCCGGCGCCTGGTGGGCGCTCGATGAGCCCGATAACATCCCCTACAAGGGCGACTTCCTCGCCTCCCAGGACCGACATTACCCCCACCACCTCCTCTGCTTCCCTTGCGGCGTCTTCCACCGCCGCACGCAAGAGGGCGCCGAACGCCTCCAGCCAGCCGGCACAGTCAATCCGCTCTTCGACTGCCCCAACGCCCGCAACAGCGCGCTGCCGTCCCCGCGCCACCGCATCACCCACGGCCGCGTCCTCTACTTCGCCTTCGTGCAGCTCTCCATCCGCGCCCACCGCTTCGGCCCCCGCTACGGCATCCCCGCCGAGACCCTCAGCCGGCGCTGGCGCCGCGACGGCTGGTGGCACAACACCCGCTACTACATCCACCGCAACCACCTGCTCATGCGGGTCGTCAGCTCGACGTTCGCCGAGCCAGGCCTGACGCCCTCCGCGCAGCGCATGCTCCTCTACTCGCGCGAGGACTACTGGCCCTACTTCTCCGCCTGCGCCCACTGGCGCGACGGCGAGCTCATGAACGTCTGCAAGTGCGCCCTCGGCCACATCCCCCAGCCGCGCGCCACCGCCGGCCTGCAGGGCCTCGAACACCGCGCCAAGGACAAGTACCACGGCCGCACCCACAATCCCAACGCCTTGACCACCCTCTGCGGCCGCTGCCGTCCCATGCGCCGCTGCCCCGAGTGCCCCTCGGAGTACCTCGTCGAGGTCAAGCTCACCGAGGACCGCTCCGACCCCCGCGCGCTCCGCTTCCGCCAGGCGATCGTCGTCACGCGCTGGTGCGACCTCGGCGACGGGACGTCCCCGCACACGTCGCCTGAGTGGTCCGCCTGCAATGGCGAGAACGCCGATCAGCCGTTCGACTCGTTCGCCAAGTTCAGCAAGCGCTCTATCGCGGGGACGTTCGAGGCGGCCTTTACGGATGATACCTTGCCGGGGCAGCGGATGCTGTCTATGAATCCGAAGGGGAAGAAGTTGGGAGAGGAGGGAACGGGGTGGTATTAAACTTTCTCTTCTTACCGTCTCCCTTTGTCTTTCCTTCTTTGTTTTCTTTTCCTTTTTGTTTTAGTCATTCTTTTCCCTCGCGGATGGCGTTTCCATGGACCATGGATATGGATATCTTTTTTTAATCAATAGTTTCTTTTCTTTTTACATTGCATTCGGTTGGGATGGGGGTTTTCTTTCTCTCTCTGTTATTCCAAATAACAGGATTGCAGGATAATGGAGTTGGATGGATGGATGGATGGATTGGATGGTGTTGGTATTGCTTGGTTGTGGTGTTAAAAATTGGAATTGGAATTGGATTGGGATTGGGATTGGGTAGAGGATTTGCATGTATTTTTATATTCTCTTTCTTATATTTCGTTGATTCTTGTACAGAATGAATGGATATATGGATTTTATTTATATTCAGGTCTTATCTGATTCGTCCTTCGTTATATCATGTCTTACTTATGCTTATTTCTACGGATACTAAGAACCACTAATTTCCCAGGGGTGAGTTATAAGCTTTCTATTTTTAGAAAGAGAGAAGGAAATGAAATAAATCAGAAGAGAGTGACTACTACATCAGACTATAAGTTTCAAAAAAACACCACTAGAAAGAAGAACAGAAGAGAAGAAAAGAGAAAACAGCATATCGTAAATCACATCAGGGAAATAAATCAATCAATCAATGGTAGTATAGGCCAGCTAGATACCAGGGTAGAATATCAAGATAGGGTACCAGGGAAAGAAGTTTTTTTATTCCGTGGAATCAAGTGAGAAGGTAAGGACGAAAGCAAGAATGGATTGGGTATGTATGTATGTATGCGTTCCTTCGGGAATGGAAGGAAAAGAAGGAAAGGGAAGGAGTCCAATGCGTGGGTATCGTTCTTGTCGTGAGTGAGACCGATTGTTTGGGTCGTTTAGATCGTAGGTCAGAAGGAAAGAAAGAGAGAGAGAGAGAATGTGGGTGTGGGTGTGTGTGAAAAAGAGAAAAGAGAAAGACAAACAATGGAAAAGGAAGGAAAGAGTCATGCAAGATGTACACAGAATGCAAGTTGAAAAAAGAACAGACAAAAAAAAAAAAAAAACCGAAAGAATGAATCATCCCCGACGAGGCCGTCTATCCATGTACCGCGGTCTCCAACCACCATCATCCTCGTCCGTCCGCCCGATAGGCCTCGCCGGCGGCGCAAAGTCCGTCACGGAGACATTCATAGACGCCATATCGGGGGCAGGCTTGGGAGGCTCCGCGGGGGCTCGCTCCGTTGCCAGGCGGGAGGATGCTCTATCCCTAGGTACGGAGCTCAGCGACGAGGACAGCGTCGCCGAGGTGTCCGAGTCGGACTTTTTTGAGCCGAGCCCGCTGGCTCCTTTCATCCAGCCGAAGATGCCCAGGGAGCCGCGGCGTCGGTGGTGGTCCTTGGACGAGCGAGCGGTTGCGAAGTGGGATTCGGTCAAGGATTGGGCCAGCGGGCGTTGTGTTGCCCCGTCGTCGGCGTAGGTGGGTAGCGATGCGCTGAAGTCGGTTGGGGTGGAGAGGAGGTCCTTGGGACCATGTCCAGATAGGAAGTCCTCCTCGTTGAGGGGCGTCGTTGCTGCTTTGGATGGCCTCGTGGGACTTTGTGCTTGTCGGCTTTTTCGAACTATGGGAGCTGGTGCGCCATCGTCTCGGTCGATATCTGAGACGGGCGCCGCGTGGAGCCAGCGGGAGGTGATCGAACGGGCGAAGAATGGAGCGCGGAGGCTGAGTCGGTGTCGACGCTCCTGTTCCCGGGCACCTTCTCGCTCTGGTTGTGCGGAGGGGTCGGGGGGAAGAGTCGGGTCGAGCTCTAGCGAGGACAGGTCGAGCGTAGGGATGCCGGGGATCTCTGCGTCTCGCACGCCGGTATCGATGCTGTGCCGACGCCCGAGGAAGGAGGACTGGCTGGGTGCCCGCGCGCCGACTAGGCGAGTCTCGGCAGGCAGGGGCCCCTGGCGGGGCCCGCGCGGGGATCCGGTTCTCGTCCGGGTGTCGGACTTGGCGGCCTCGATCCAGTCCTGCGGAGTCAACGGGGGTGACGATGATGGCGAGTGCGCGGGCTCTCGGGTGGCCCGGCGCTGGGTTGGGGCATAGTGGTTCTGGTCCAAATTCGACAGCACCCTCTCCAAACCCTCCTCGTTAAACAAGACATCCTCGCCGTGGTACTCGTACGTCCGCTGGTTGAGCGTCTCCTGGCTCAGAAGACCGTCTCCCCGGGCGGTGATGCTGTTCAGCGGGTAGATCGTGGGCGGTTCGTCGTCGTCGTCGAGGCTGGCCCGGGGCAGGGTGCAGTCACTCATGTTCAGGTCCATGCTCTCGGAGAGACTCCGCAGCGAGGTGAGCTCACCGGCCGAACGAGGACGACCAAGGCGGCGCTTGACAGGGAGGAGCGGGTCCACATGGGGCTTCTCGCCAGGATGGTTCCCCTGAGAGCCAGCGGACCCGTTGGGGCCACCTGCGTACGCCGTGCTCATGGTGTCAGGCGTCGGGGGGAGCCTGGAGCTGCCGAAGACGCTCTCCAGCGGCGTTCGCTGGCTGGAGCTATCAAACGAACCGCTATCGAAACTCATCTGATCCATCTTGAGGACAGGATTCGATTTCTCTTGGACCGTCGAGGCAACCATGTCATGCTGATATGGTCGAAGGAAACCGCCGATGGGGAGCGGCGCCACCTCACGATAGCCTGCGTCCGGTGACGCATCCGCAATGGGTGCTTCCTTCGGCCGGACGGGAATTTCCAATTCATCGAACCCGTGAGATCCAACGAAACTGCTGTCGGGGTTGAGTTCGCTACATTCGCTCAAGGCGCTAAGGCGCGGCGACTCAACCTCGGCCATCTCGTTCATGGAATTGCAACTCTCGGTTTGAGTGAGCGCACTCATGCTCGGGCGTACTTCCTCCTCGGGTACGTACAGACTTCGCAAGGCCGCCGTCCGCGCGGTCTCATCGCGGAGGAATGACGGCGCCGACTTGAGGTGACGGGTTTCGGGTGAGACGCGCCGATGGCGGTCGGGCGTTCTCGTCCCTTTCCTTGACGACGACCTCTGGGGAATTTCCACCGCGATCCTCCCCTTCGGCGTGACCGCACCGGGGTCCTCGCTCGGATAAGCCGCGGCCTGCCTCGGTAAGGGCCCGCCCGTTTCCAGACGATCCACCTTGGCTTCGAGTTGACAGATTAGATCGACTGCCTCCGTCACGGCCTGGTCGCGCTTGTCGATCTCGTGTCGCAGCTGCTCGTTAGACTCGCGCAACCGGTGGTTGTCCTCCTCGGCGTCTCGCAGCTCGGACAACTCATCCTCCATCCGCTCCATCCGCCGAAGCTCTTCCTGCAGTTCCACCATCCGTTCCAGCTTCTGCTCCATGATCGCCATCTGTTGGGCCCGGTGGAAAATCTCGAGCTTCAGGTCAAAGTTTTGTTTATTGATTTTCGAGACGTACTAGCAACGGTTAATCACCGACCGACGAGCCGCTATGGCGTTCACGCCACTTACGTGGTCCATTTCCCTCATACCCATCTCTCGAGGTTGTTTTAAACCGGCCGACAGGGCGCTGTTCATTTTCCGCTGACGTTCGGATCCGGACTCTTCCTGGGATTGCGATTGGGACTGGGATCGGGACTGTGACTGGGACAGGGACAGGGACTGGGACTGGGGTTGGGATTGAGACTGGGGCTGCGACTTAGAGACCGACAGGGAACGAGTACGGGTCGCGCTAGGGGTGCGGAGCACGCCGCTGTCCAGATCCTCTGTGGACGAGCCTCGTGCGCCTCTAGATGCACGTTGTTCGTTTAGGAGATCCTGGAGTAGGGCGGAAGATGGGTTCACGAGAGCGGTCGTCGGGGGTTCGGGAGTCCCTGTATGGGCAGTCAGCTACCTCGCTATATAGTTCCACATCCGTCGCGTTCGCCATGCACATACTCGACCGGGATCTCGCCGTGGGCGTGCGTGGGGTACCCGACATGGGTGACGGGTCATTCATCCATGACATTTCTGCAGCCTGATCAATATGGGGAGCGTACGCTGACGGAGGGATCCATGAAGATCTATCGTACCTGTGCTGGCTCGTGACGGCGTCTGCATTGTGATCTTACCTTTCACTCGGGTCAAGGCTTTCGGCTTCGGGGGCTCTAAAATGTCTAGATAGAAGGGTAGGTTAGTCAGGAGGCCGGTACCCCTTGGCAAAAAAGAACAAGGGCGCAACACAAGTGATCTAGGCGCGACCGGACTGACTTTTAGATTGGAAACGGTGTCTCGGAGGAGCGCTGTCACTTGGGGAGGCCGTGGCGGGAGGAGAAAAGTCGGGCTGCAAGGACGAAGGGATGGAGGACGATTGCACGGCGACCGTGCTCTGGATTTGAGGAGTTCGATTCATTATGGCTCGATGCGATCGACAATCCCACGACCAAGTAAAAAGAGAAAATAATAACAATAATAATCAGAGAAAGAAAAACCGAAACCAGTGCCCAGGCTTAGAGAATGCGCATCACTGACAAGCGGGACGCACGAGATGAGTTCGAGTGGATTGAAAAGAGGTCTGAGATGTCCACCCCATGCAGACGAAGATCAGGATAGACAATCGGTCGACAGGTACAGCGCTGTGGAGGACATACGATTGGGAGGGCGAGGAAGCGAGGAGGTTGGGAGACGTGATGGAGGTCCACGACGTTGGAGCGCGGTGAAGTCGGCAATCGGTAGTTTGAGACGCAAGGGGAGGGTCAGCGGCGTCTCCTAGAGACCGTCGAGCCGTGAGGGGAGGAGGGACAGAAAGAAGAGAGGAGATGAGACGAGATGAGAAGAGAGTAGAAGAGGGGGGTGTGATGAAAGTGATGAGTGTGACGAGTCAACGGTCGATCCTGGGAAAAGCCAAGACAGGGGGAGAGTCAGTGCCCACCTAGGTCCCGATCTTGTCCTTTGATTCGATCTTGATTTGACTTTATTCTGGCTATTTCGTTTCCATTCTTTCTTTCTGGTTGTCGCCGTAGCAATATGACCAGGAGGAATGCAGGGTGGCCAGGCGATTGGCACCGTTGCATATCCGGTGCATACCAGTGTCTATCGCCAAATGGTCGATACTGAGGTATAGAATCAAGACCTGGGATCTGGACGATCCAGGCACACGATCCCCACTCCAACGAGACTAAGAACGAGACTAAAGCAGGGACCAGAAACCAATCGGAAAAGCCAACGACTGGGCTGTTTCATCTGAAGCCAATAATCATTTACCAACGTTGGACCAACGGTACTTTATGTTGGTGCTATTTCATCTTCAATTAGGTATTGAGTTGATCAGAGCAGCCAGGAGTCAGACTTCGTATTCAAGTCTCATATAGATGGGTTATCTCATCAACCTATAAATCAACGAGATATCCACTTTTTCATTCGCTAAAAGGAACAACGCCGGGGCCCCATCGTTCGTCGGGTGGATGTCGATCATTGTAGTTGAATTACACATTGAATATGATATTACAGTCCGATATATAAACTCCCGGACGCCTTCCGTTTCTTTTTAATTATTCATACCATACTTAATACAATTTCAGATTACACTTACCAAAAGGGAATAATATATCATCGACCCAGTCGAGCAGCGATTATTCCAGATATATATAGTACCGCTCAATGCCAATGGTAGTCACTAATATATACATAGGCATGAATAAACTCCATAAAATCCATAACTCCATCATAGATCGCTCAAAACAAACTCCCCTCATCTATACTCAATCACCAAATCAAGCAAGTAAATAATCACCTCTTCTTCGCCTCTCCCGCCCAAACCCGCACTTCCTTGGCTCCTTCATGAGCAACCCGGAATACTAAGAACCAATCAGACATACCATAAGAATAAGAAAGGAAAGGAAGAAGAAGAATAAGAAGAAGAAAAACGTACACTGCCTCTCCATCTCATCCAGTCCTCGCAAGAAGTCCACCCCCTGCCCCATCGCACCCTTGGGATTATGCGCGTGGTCTGCGATTTCTGCAGCGCGTTTCGCGAAGGTCTACTGACAGTTAGTATTCTATAAATCTTATCCGTCTATCCACCCATCTCTAGATAGAAAGATAGATAGACAGATAGACAGAATGATAAGTAGGTGGATAGTAGAGAACATACATTCAACAAAACATCCACCATCTCCTCCTCCTCAAACAACTCCAGCACTCGTTCACTGAGACTGTAAAAGTGCGGCGCCAGCGAGCGCAGGTCGATCGTCCGCGGGTCGGCCTTGAATGCATTCAACACCCGCTCTGATAGAGCGGATGGGATGTCGAGCGTGACGAGACGGGATGTGCCCAGACGGGCTCTTTAGTTAGATTAGTATTTTCTTTCTTTTCTGTCTTCCTTAATTTCTTCTCTTCAGGATCGTCTGTCGTGATGCGATATTTCCAATGGCCTCAAAAGAATGACATACCCAATTGACAGCATTTCACCTAGCCATAATGGAAGGTCGAGTTGCGTTCCCGCTTTGATCTGTTTTAATTAGTACTTCTTCTATATACATACATACATATACAAATATGTATATATTGAAGAAGGGAATAAAATAAAACAAACATTTTCACCCGGATTCCCCTCCAGCACGCCCAATCCGGGTACTTCCAATTCAAACGTGCAGGGCAGTTTCTACTCAGCACTAGATCAGTCCTCATCCTCAACTTATTCAAAGACGAAAAGAAAAAATAAGATATACCTCCGAGTCAGTCAGTATCGAATCCACGTCGTAGTATGACATGACGAAGATATCTCACACCGTTGATCTGTTCGGCGCGTGGAATTGAAGCTGCTGGTCTGGACGTGTCTGCGCGTTGGTTTCTGTGCTGTGGGGTTGGGGGGATGACTCAGCGGGTGGATTTTCTTATCGCGTGTCTTATCAGGGTTGGTTTGGCTGCTACGCCGTTTCTTATCTTATCGGGTTGGCGTGATCTTCTCCGTATGCTGCTTTGGTTGATGGATGTTTCAATGACTTTGGATTATTATCTAGAGTGAGAATTGCATATTCAAAGAGAATGAGGCTTACTCTAAGTGTTGGTCTAGATTGAGTACATGAGTAGACAACAGGTATACTCCCCAAGTCTGCGCAAGATGCTGTGGCTTTGTAGCACATGATATTATCACTAGTATAAAGCTGATATTTGTTATGATTGAGGATCTCAATATTCCTGTCGCGGCCATCCCAGGCTGTTCTAGTTCTGCTTCCGCTGTCAACCCGAGTCCAATAGCCCACCCCCAATCCACCGCAGAGACAAATAAAACGAATCAAAGCTTAGCACCCTCTTCCCTCGCCTCCTTCTTCGCCTGGTCGCGCAGCTCCCGTCGCAGGATCTTCCCGCTAGGACTCTTCGGGATAGCAGGCACGTAGACCACACCCCCGCGCAGCTGCTTGTAGTGCGCCAGGTGGGATTTCACAAACTCCTTGATGGTGGCTTCGTTAGCCTGGGCTGGGTCCGCTACGACGTATGCCCGGGGTACTTCGTTGCCGGAGCCGTCGGGGGTGGGGACCCCGATCACGGCGACGTCCATGATGGCTGGGTGGGAGAGGAGGAGCGCTTCGAGCTCGGCGGGGGCGACTTGGAGGCCTTTGTATTTGATGAGTTCCTGTGTGTTGTTAGTTTATCTTATGAGGGAAAGATGAAGAGAGCGAGAGTGTAAAAAAGAGAGAGGGAGAGGTATCACACCACGAAGAGGAACAAGGGGGAGGGGGGGTGGGGGGGGGGGAGAAATACCTTCTTCCGGTCAACAATATAAAACAACCCGTTCTTCCGCACGCCGAGGTCCCCCGACTTGAACCAGCCATCTGGGGTGTACGCCTCCCGGGTGGCCTCCGGATTGTCGTAGTAGCCGTTGGCGATGACCGGTCCCCGGACGAGAAATTCCCCCTCCTGGCCCTCGGCAACATCGTGGCCATCCTCGTCGACGATGCGGAGTCGCATGTTGGGCAGCAGCCGGCTCACGCTGCCCGTCAATTCCTCCTCTTCCCACGGCAAGCCCGTGATGCTGCCGGTGGTCTCGCTCAGTCCCCAGGTCTGGTTGACGAGGCAGCCCAGCTTCTGCTGGACCTTCACCTGTAGGTCGGAGCCCATGGGCGCGGCGCCCGAGTAGGCGCGGCGCAGGGTCCGGAACTGGTCGGTGACCGCGGGGCTGTGGCTGATGAGGAGGAAGATGGGCGGTACGGAGAAGAAGAAGGTAATCTCCAATTTCTTGTTGTACTCGAGGAACTTGGCGAAGTCGAACCGGTCCATCCAGTAGACGGTGCCGCCAATCACGCTCGGATTGATGAAGTAGCCCTGTGTGCCTGCGATGTGAGCGGTGGGCAGGTGCGCCAGCGTGCGGTAGGGGTGCTCGTAGTTCGGGTCCTGGGCCGTCCGCAGGGCGACGTACTCGCGGTCCATGAAGAAGGGGATGAGCGCCTCGGCGACGACGTTCCGGTGGGAGATGTTGACCCCCTTGGGCACGCCCGTCGTGCCGCTGCTGTACAGTAGGCAGATGAGGGAGCCGTCCAACCGCCGAGGGTCCGTGATGCACTCCCAGTCCAGGGCCTGCGACGGCGTCAGGCCGTGGAGGTAGTTGTGGCCCGTCCGACTGTCGGCCAGCACCCGCTCGTGGCTCATGCTCCGGAGCACCAGGACGCGATCGGTGGGCACCCCCGCCGCCTGCGCCGCCTGGAGGGCCAGGTCCCGGGTCTCGGGCCCGGTGATGACGAGCCGGCTTTTCCCCTGGCGGATCTGACGCTCGAGCTCCGTGGACGTCGCGGTGTAGGACGCGGCGCTCCAGACACCCCCGGCCGCTACTACGCCGTAGAAGACGGCGGGCAGGAGAACCTGCCCGGTGGAGACCCCGACCACGACATCCTTACCGGCGCCCTGGGCACCGACCCCGAAGTGGTGGCGGAGGAGGTAGGCGATCTGACGGGTGTACTGGCGGGCCTGGGCTTTGGTGATGCCGTTCGAGGGATCGGCGGCTTCTGCATGCAGGACGGTGGTCTCCTTGCTGCCGGGGAGGGGCGAATCTGATGGGGCATGGATCTCAGTTTCTCCGCCGGTGGACTCCCAGACTCCGCCGCGGGACGGAAGGGACGAGAGGACTCACCGAAGATTAAGCTTAACAAATCGAGATCAGGGAGAACATAGTCTTTCTCCGGAAGGTAGATCATGGTGCAAGAAAGGGAGGTTTACGGAGAATTGGGAAATCGGGAGGCGACAGTCTTGTAGGTGGAAGGAGAACCCCAGGAGACGGCGTCAGACCGCTTTATAGGGGAGGGAACTATTTTTTGTTGGACAACACATGCTCTGGCGGGAAGCCATGCACACGAAGCCACGGCTGCAGGGCTGATACATCTCACCCGACCGAAGCGAGGAGAGGGTGTTCTACAGCCGTGAGCAACAGAGCCCGAGGTCCGTCGGCAGGGGATCGGCGGACATTGATGAGGATCGCGGAGATGCGGGGTCGGTTGACTACGCCCTGACATCTCACGAGAGGGGTGACCGGATGGATGTCATTGGCCTTGATCATCGTTATGCTTTGACTTCCGATGAAAGTCACACATGGCGGGATTCCTCTTCGAATATATCCAGAGGGAGAGAGCGAACTGACGCGCCATGGCTGCGGGTGATGCGGTGTGGCCTTTCAGAGTGGAGTCCCGCTGCAGTGTGGCAGGGGAGATGACACGCTTCCTGCCGTTCATGATAGTTTAAATGGATTGACCAGCCTAGATAATTGGAGATAATATATATATATATATGTAAATATGGTGAGAGGATCAAGAACCTTGAGGGATCCGCCATGGTGTCTATTTTTTGAGTATCCTCCCCGGTCTGCTCTCCAGATGGTTCGAGGGTCTAGAACGAGGCAGAACGGAAAGATGTGCAGCGCTAAATTGGGAATTGTTCCAGGACAGACTCCACTGGGGGATTCTCGGATTCTCTCGAGGTATGAGATACTGTCGAGTCGATCGATCATTTCATAGAGTGGATGAGCCAACAATGCAGTACGGATCTATCCGGACCAGACCAATCCACCTTCCATGTAGATCGAATCAGACGAACGAGGAGAAAATGGACACGCGATACAAGAGAAAAAGAGAAAGAGAGACAATACCCTGTTTTTTGCCCACGCTAACCCAGGAAGAGGATAGGATGGTGGAGGGAAAGGAATCCTTTGGCCAAGTTTTTGTTTAAACCAAGGATTTAAATAACTTGGACATGACTTGGCCACAAGTTGGTCCAACCAATATCCCACCGTATGATCGGGATATGTAGAGATCGAATCAATCCAAGTGAACATGGAAATGATGTCCAGAATTGAACAGTTGAAGCAAGAAGGAAAGATAGAAAGAAAAGTAAAATCCAAACCAGGTAGGTGCCTGGAAACCTCAGGACCACAACATAACGCGATCATAAACCATCATAATATTTATGGACGTGTGACATCTGCTTCTCCCGCTTGACTCTCTTTCTCTCTCTCTCTCTCTCTCTCTCTCTCTCTCTCTCTTTCTCTCTCTCTTTCTCTTCTTCTCTCTCTTCTTTCTTTCTTTCTCTCCATCCTTCTCTCTTTCATTTTCATTCATTCTCACACACTCTCTCTTTCATTCTCCCTCCCTCTCTCTCCCCCCCGATTGAACATCCTCCCCCTCTTCTCTCCCTTCTCCCTTCCTTTCTCTCCCCTTCCTCTTCTTTCTTCTCCTTTTCGTCTGTTCTTCACGCTCATTCTTTTTCTCCCTTTCTTTTCTCGACCCATTCTGCATGACTCCATAAACAGCCGTGAAGGCTTCGATTCCTCCATCGCATCCGTCCCATCATGACTTACAACGCCGTCTCGCAATCCGACCAACATGAGGTTACCTCCAACACGAGCGACCAGGACAATCGAGGAGGAGATCGGTTGGACGCACGGGAGCCTATCCGCAGCCTCGGATCGATGATTCGTTCCATGACTGCCATGAGCTACGAGACTGTCGAGGACGACGACTACGAGGAGATCGCCGCCGATCATGCCGCTACCCGGAAGTCCATCGATCCGCCCACCACGACTAGCGATGGATTCCCTCGTCCACTGCCTCCTCCGATCAACACGGCCGCCGCCGCCGCCACTCGCTCCGACTCCACCGAGGAACCCGCCCTGCGGACGCCCATCTCCGATGTCCCCGTGCCCCTGAGCCACCCGACCCCCGACCTGCAGTCCCTCCAGGGCGCCTATGTCACCAATGTCGAGCGACTGGAGCAGAGCGCCGAACGCATGAGCTGCAGCTCCGCCGATATTGGCCGCGAGATCCGCAAGATGGACCAGGCCCAGAAGCGACGCTCCTCCGGGTCCACCTCCCACCCTGTGGGGAGCCTGGACGGCTCGCCCCGCCGCACCCATGCCCGCTCCCGCCAGGCCTCCATCCAGTCCGCCGCGCGCCTCGCCCAGGTGTGCGAAAATGGCCCCGGCGATCGCCGCTCCGGTCCCGTGCCAGCTCCTCTCCTGCCCCTCCCCCCGGCCCTCGCTCAGCCGACCGGTTTCGACCCGCTCCTTCCCCTCGACAATCCCTACGACCTCGATCGCCCCGTGTCGGCCGCCTCCAACGACACCTACCAGCAAGCGCGTGTCTTGTTCACCGATTTCGATGGCGTCCACTACCATCCGGACCGCACCGACGCCCGGGGGCCCCGCGTGTCCTTGACCCGGCCGCCCCTGGCCGCGCGGCCCGAGTCGTTCCAGGAGCCCCCGCCCGGCGAGCGCATGGTCTACTACCCGGCGCCCGTCCCGATGATGCTCAATCTGCCCCCGCGACTGTCCCAGCGGCCAATCGCGGAGCGGGAGAAGCGGAGAACCCAGCTCCTCGGGACCGTCGCGGCGGCCGACCGCCAGTCAACCGCGGGGCGGCGGCTGGGTCCGGACGCGGGGGAGGACCCGCCGCGCGAGAAAGCCGCGACCGAGATTGCCCCCCACCTGCGTGCCAGTGTCTTCTTCGACCCCCCCGGCGCGCCGGCCCTAGACGTGGACGTCAAGAAAGAGTCCGCCGTCGCGACGCTGGAGAGCATCCTCGACGCCTCCACCCGGGCCCCGGTCAGCGCCTTTACCGATCACCCATTTGCCGGCCATCTCGGCCCGGAGGTGTACGGCAGCGCGCGCCCCCGGGCGACGGGTGCCCCTGACCGGGCTGCGTCCGACTCGGACCTGCACTCAGTGTCCCTCACGGGCACCGGCGAACACGGGCCGAGCGAGGCGGAGGCCACCCGTGCCCACGAGGGCACGGCCCTGCGCGACGAGTCGCCGGGGGCGCCCGACGGCGCCGATGCTCCCCCGGCGCCCGCCGACGCGGCCGACAGCGGGGACGACGTGCCCTTCACCGGACCCCCGACCACCCTGTTGGCAGAGCTGGAGATGCGGAAGCACGAGCTGAAGCAGCGGCGGCGCACGGCCGCCACCGCCGGGGGCCTGCATTCCACCTTGCTGCAGATGGATGCCGTCGCGCAGAAGCAGAGCGAGCACCGGCGCGCGCGCCCCGTAGCCCTGGCGTGGGAGAGTCCCACCCTGCACCAGCAGGACGCGGGCGACGACGAGGACGTCCCGCTGGCCATGCTGTTTCCCGAGCAGGCGCAGCCGCCCGAGGACGGGCGGCCCCTCGGCCTCATGGCGCGGCGGGCGATGGAGGAGTCGGAGCCCCTGAGCCGACGGCGCGCGCGACTCCGCGGAGACGGCTCCCCCGCGCCGCCGCCGCGGACCTCGGACCGACGACCGGTGACCATGTATGCGCATGGACCGGCGCCCGGGACGACCGCCGCGGCCAACCCGGACGCCGCCGACGACGACAACGACGACGAGGACGAGGGCGAGACGCTCGGGGCGCGCCTCCAGCGATTGAAGGCGCACCACCGGCAGAGCACCGCGGGACAGAGCGAGTTCGCCAGCGAGATCTTCGCGGAGTTCCGTCAACTGGGTGGGGCGGACGGCGACGACGACGGGACGGGGGCCGGTGGTCCCCCGGAACCCGAGGACGAGACGCTGGCCCAGCGGCGGGCGCGTCTGCACCGGGAGGCGGCCGCGGAGCTCCCGAAGAACTCGACCCTGACGATTCCGCGGTATCGGCGCAGCATGGCGGATCTCCTCCATGCCCGCCGTCCGACGACGGAGGGACGGCCCGCCGCACCGGCCACGGGGGGTGCCCCCAGTGGTCTAGGTCATCAGCACACGCAGTCCCAGTTGTCGCTCCCGTTTACGGCGCCGCCCGGGGTAGTTCCGCCCGGGGTAGTTCCGCCCGGCGTCGCTCCACCGGGCACAGCGGGCGCCCCGTATGTCCCGCCATCGGGGTATGGCATAGTGCACCCAAATACCTTTTACACCGATGCCATCCTGGGGAAACACCCGATGAGCTATGCGGTGCCCCGGCAGCCTGGCCCTCCAGGGGTCGGACGGCCCGGCGGCCAGCGCGAGATGATTGACCGTTGGCGGCAGAGCATCGCCTAGTATCGATCTTTATTTGATTCTTTCTTTATCTCTTTTCTCTCTCTATTTCTTTTCCTTTAACTTTGTCTCTCCCTTTCACCCTTTTCTTTTTTTCTTTTTTCTTATCTCTTTTTAATCAATGTATTGGCATGTCGGAGCATCGGGTTGGTTCTGACGGTTGGGACGCATGCACGGGTTGTAGATTAGCGCTGGCTTGTTATTTTTTTGGCATTCTGTCTTGTATTATAATATCTCTAATATCTCCATCTTCTCATTGTCGGATTTCGGTTTGTTCGTGATTCGACCTTGCTGGATGGTCACCTTGAATATATCTTTTTAAACCAATGTCGAATTCCCAGAATTTCCTTGTCTCCTCTGTCCAATTTTACCAAATTGGTGACCTGTCCGCCCAATGCGTAAAGACCAGGGACCGCCGTCGGGCTGTCTGCATCCATCCGTCGGGTCTTCCTCCCCGCCGCCACGCAGGAACTGGTTCAACCAACCATCCCACCCAACTCCAACCCACAACCAACAACCAACTACCAACAACTCCACCGGAAGCGACGATGGTTCCTGAAAGAAATCCCCAGACATTCTCTGGATCCGTCATATTGACCCTGGCGAATCCGACCCAACCAATGTCTTCCCGTGAGCTAAGGTAGTTGATCGACGGTGGAGGGGGACGATTTTCCCGCTTTCGGACCAAGAAAGATGGACCAAAGTCAGTGACTTCACCTCCGCGTCTATTTTTTTCTTTCCTCCACCTTGTTTTCCACCCCTGACTCAACCAGACTTCTTCTGCTGTCTCTTTTTGGATCCTTGGTCATCCATTTCTCCATTCCCTCTTCTATTCGAGTCTCTTGTCTATTTCCCTGTCCTTCTATTTTTAATTCTTTTCCCCACTGCGCACTTGGATTCAACGCTGTCCCCAAGCTGAGACATACCCCACGCCTCCAGGATCCTTCATCCCCTCGGGTTCTTCTACACCTTGTCGATCGCTCCTCCATCACCTCCCTATCCCCTCCATCACAAGTCATGGGGGACTGTGGCACTCGTTGATCCGAGGTTTGTTTCCCCCACCGAGCCACGGTAGGTGAACTGGCGATGCCTCCCTCCGCCGTCTTCTCGTACTGGCGGCGCGACCACCGTCGGTCCAGTGCGACCCCGAAACTGGCGCCTCCGCTGGCCCAGGTGCCGACCATCCAAAGCACCCCCGCCGATGTGCCCACGTCTGTGGGCAGCTCCCCGGCGCATCCAGAGGGCTCGAGCCCGCAGACGCCGGAATACTCCCCCGACGCGGACGGGGAGAAGCTGAACGTCACCGTGTCGACGGCGGCCATCCCGCCGCCGTCGTCCTCGTCCACCAACCTCGCCGTCCCGTCCGCCACGTCGGAGATTCGTCCCCATTCGAGCCCCGAAGAAGAACGCGAACGAGAGGTGCCGCTCACCGCCCAGTCCAACCACTCGCAACCGTCCTTCACCGTCCCGCGTTCGACGGACCAGAGCGATGCGGAGTCGTCCAAACCGAGCTCGCCCTTCCGGCTGTCCTTGGGGAAGAGTCTGCTGCATGCCCATCACCAACCCTCCGATTATCACTCCAAACGAGCCTCGACCCCCGCCATGACCCACACTAGCCACTTCCGCTTCAAACCCGCGCCGGACGATGCCACGCCCGACAAACCCAACGCGGGACACCGAGATTACAAGAGGGACCGGGCGGATGGCGGGAACGGCGGCCGACGGCAGGGCGACCGCGAGGTCTCGGGGGACCACGCCTCACACAAGTCGGGGAAGGCGATGCTGCATTTGCTGAACCCCATGTCGCTCCTGGCCCGGAGACGGTCCTCCCACCTGGTCCACCTGCGGACGGAGGACACCGCCGCGGTCCCAGCCATCCCGGACGACTACGACCCACGGATTCGGGGGAAGATCGTGCATGACTTCTCCGCCCCGCGGCCCCGGCGGACGCGGTCCACCGCCCCCACTCGATCCGAGGCGGGCTCCCGGGCCCCCTCGTCGCAGGACCAGGCGTCGGCCGCCCGATTGTCGGACCGCGACGCCCCGAACTACGCCCCCGACCAGGCGAGAAAACGGCAGAGTGAATACGCCCCCGTTTTCAAGGAGCATTTCGAGGACGACCGCCCGGTGCTGCAGGTGGAGAACAAGGCCTACCTGCAATCGTCACTGTTGACGAACCCGGCCGCGACCGACCAGGACACGCAGGCAATTCCCGCATTTGCAAGAAAGCTGCCCGCACAGGTCCCCGCGGACGAACCCTCGTCGGACAAGATCTCATCGGACAAGCCCTCACCTGACAAGCCCCCGTCGGACAATGCTCCGGGCGTCCCAAACGAAGACAGGGCCCCGCAGCACGTACGCGATGCGGACACCATCGACATCACCCCCCATCAACCACTGGGCGTGCCCAAACACTGCAAGAGCAATGCATCCCGCTTCAGCTTCGACATGGACGCCGTGGAATCCGAGACCCAGGAAAAGCTGCTGGAGGAGAAGCACAAGGCCAAGGAGGCAGCGCGGAAGGCCAAGGCGCGCATGGACGGCGACTTCAGCGACGCCGAGGACGACTATGACAACGATCTGTTCGACGACTTTGACGGCCTGGAGGAGAAGATTCCGGGTGTGAACGTGGACGACGAGGAGGATGGGTACGACGACTTTCCCGCCCCCGACGCGTTGGCGAACAAGTCCTGGCTCGCGCCCGGTTTGTCCCCGGTGGTGGCCAGCCCCATCAGTCCGGTCGGACCCGGCTTGCCGCCGGGGGCGTCTCTGTCGACCCATGATCTGGGTACCGTGCCGACCCCGCCATCGGAGCGGACCGCCGGCGTGACTGCCGCGGAGTGCTGCCCCGCTCCGCCACCGGGTGCGCGGGATTCCACTGGACCACCGACGGAGGTACCGCAGATCCCAATCGGTCTCCCGCCGAGCAACCCACAGCCCTTGGTGGACGACGACGACGACATGTACTTTGACGACGGCGAGTTCGGTGATCTCACGGCGGACGTGGGTGGCGGGGAGACGTTTGACGAGTCTATCTTCGATGACGAGTCGAGCCATCTCTACAGCCGCAAAACGGCCACCGCGCAGCCCCCCGTGGCGCCCGCCGAGGACCGGGACCCCGCACCGGCGCCGATGGAGATCCTCTCCGAGCTGGACGAACTGACTCTGGACACCGAAGAACGTTCCGACGGCCTGAAGCACATGCCGAGCATGGCGAGCGACTATCGAGGCCTAGGGTCACGGCGCGTCGGCCGCGGCCCGCCGTCGCTGGATCCGGCCAAGGCGCAGGGTGGCGTGCTGTCCGAGCACAACCTCGAGGCGCTACACCACGCACTCGCCGCGGCGGCCAATCAGGCGACGCACGACGGACCCCGGGGCCGCGCAGTCAGCGGCAGTGAGCTGTCCCTGGGCGCGGAGAGCCTCCCGGAAAGCCTCCCCCCGACGCTGGGGGCGCCCCCGGCCCTGGGGGCGGACGATGGGGCCTTTGAAGACCTGGACGCCTTTGAGGACTTGGACGACGACGACTTCGACGCGTCGCTCTACAACGACCCCATCATCGCGGCGGCCAACGCGGAGGCGCTGGAGAATGACGACGAAGGCTTCTACGGGCAGGAGTTTGGGTTCTACGCGCACGCGCACGGAGCGCAGACGACGCAGCTGACGAGCGGCGGGTACTTTGGCCCGCGCACCCTCGAGGGCCTGACGCGGAGCTACAGCAGCCGCGGGACCTTCCGGGAACCAAGCCTGACGCCCATCACGGAGCGCAGCGAGTGGAGCACGCGCAACTCGGTGATCTCGCTGCCGCCGCACGGGGCGGGAGCGCATTCGACCCCGTCGCTGGCGAGCCCAGGGCTGGCGCAGCTGGTGGATCTGGGGCCGCGCGAGGACGAGATGACGCTGAGCGCGCTGATGCGGTTGCGGCGCGGCGCCTGGGGCGGCAGCAACGGGAGCCTGCGGAGCAGCAGTGCCAGTCCGCCGCCGCACCCACTACACGCACCGCACGCACCGCACGCGCCGTCATCGCACCGAAACAGTTTTACGGGACTGTCGGACGTCAGCCCGACCGTGCACAACGTGCCGCCGGACCTCCCGTGGGGGTCCAGCAGCACGAGCGAGTCTCCGCGGAAGGACCCCGAGACGAGCGGCGGATCGTCTCCGCCACGTCGCGTGGAGTCGTCGCCGATCCGGGGCGCATGAGACCTCTTTTCCCTTTTCTATTTAACCTCTCTCCCTCTCCCTCCCTATCTTCCTGCTTCTCTATTGTTTTACCGACATTGGTATATAATTTGGATCTATACCCGGCACCCTGATGTAACACGATCTCTGGGCGGCAGTTTCTTTTCCTCTTGACCGGTTGACCTTTTTGCATCTATCTTTTGTTTCTGTTTGCCCTCCTTTTCTCTGGCGTTTGAGAGATCTTATGACCGCTGTAATGTGTGATGTGCCCAACGGTGCTGTCTAATAGCCTAATCATCCGAAAGGGTCTTTCCCTTCGAGTCAATCATCGTCGATCCGCAACGATCCGGGCAAGGTCATACCCGGGCCGGAGATGTGGCGGTGTCTTTTCCGTTCAATACTTGTAGCGTATTAAGTATGCGGCATTAAAGCGATGCCGGAAATGTCGGCCCGCATTTAGTCACGCAGGGCGGACGGGGTTGAGTCAGCCGCCCACCTCAGCCACAGGCGTCATCGTACGGTACGGTACGGTGTAATACACAGTACGAGGGTATGAGTGAAGTCAGCCTGAGGGAAGAAAAAAAAGTCTCATAGCCGTCGATTTCGGCAAAGCTCTCTCTCTCTCTCTCTTCTCTTTCTTTCTCCTTCTCTCCTGTCCAACTTCCTCCCCTTCTTCACTCTCTCCACCTTTTGTCCTCCCCTTTAGGACTTCATTTGTGACGTTCTTTGTCCTTGTCTTTTCATCTCCACTCTCCCACCGCCCCCATTGTTAAGAGAGTTTTGATAACTCTCTGATGAGTCGCGTTTTGTTACAGGTGCTACGGCAATAATCGTCGACACCTGTCTTTGCTGGCTGTAACTGTATGTTCCCTTCACCCGGTGTCAGTCCCCATAGCTATCCTCCTTATGGAGCATGCTATATGTCTTGATATCTTGATGTCTTGACATCCCTTCTATCATACTGACCCTTTTATCTTCAATCTCCAGAGCTTAATCGATCGGTCTCGACTTCTTCTCGCTTATAGACATTCCCGGCTCCCTACCCGAGCTATCCGTCCACCACAACTCTCCCTATTCCGGTCTTTCATATCGTTCAGATTGCGCTCTCTTGCCATTGAGAGCCCCCGGAATTTTTCTTCGTCATGTTTCGTGTCACCGCGGTCAAAGCGACCAACAGCGGGATGATGCGTCCGGCCACCTGCGGCCGGCGATCCCTCGCTTCGATCGCTCGTCCGGCGGCTTCGTCCCGGTTCGCCCTGGCGGCCCGACGTCCGCTGGCCCTCGCCGATCGTCTGTCCCACGGGAAACGCTTCTATGCGGCTTCTGCGGAGGGTGTTGTGAGTATTGTCCTTTTTATATATCTAAATATTTGACGGACATGGAAAAAAAGATACCGGAATACTAATTTCCTCTAGGATGCCAATGACTCCTTCCTCTCCGGAAACACCGCCAACTACATCGATGAGATGTATCTGGCCTGGCGCAAGGACCCCTCCTCCGTCCACATCTCGTGGCAGACCTACTTCAAGAACATGGAGGATGGCAACATGCCCGTCTCCCAGGCCTTCCAGCCGCCCCCCACCCTGGTCCCCACCCCCACCGGCGGTGTCCCCCAGAACATGCCCGGCGAAGGCCTCGCCGGCGTCGCCGAGGGCTCCGACGTCACCAACCACTTGAAGGTCCAGCTGCTGGTGCGCGCCTACCAGGCCCGCGGCCACCACAAGGCCAAGATCGACCCCCTGGGTATCCGCATCGAGGCTGAGGCCTTCGGCTACAGCCGCCCCAAGGAGCTCGAGCTTGACCACTACGGCTTCACTGAGCGCGACCTCGACGAGGAGTTCTCCCTGGGCCCCGGTATCCTGCCCCGTTTCGCCACCGACGGCCGCAAGAAGATGACCCTGCGCGAGATCATTGCCGCCTGCGAGAAGATCTACTGCGGCTCCTACGGTGTCGAGTATATCCATATCCCCGACCGCCGCCCCTGCGACTGGATCCGTGATCGCTTCGAGGTCCCCGAGCCCTACCACTACTCGGTCGACGACAAGCGTCGCATCCTCGACCGTCTGATCTGGAGTCACAGCTTCGAGTCCTTCCTGGCCACCAAGTTCCCCAACGACAAGCGTTTCGGCCTGGAGGGCTGCGAGTCCCTCGTGCCCGGCATGAAGGCTCTCATCGACCGCAGCGTCGACTACGGCATCAAGGACATCGTCATCGGCATGCCCCATCGTGGTCGTCTCAACGTCCTCTCCAACGTTGTCCGCAAGCCCAATGAGTCCATCTTCAGCGAGTTCGCCGGCTCGACCGAGCCCTCCGACGAGGGCTCCGGTGACGTCAAGTACCATCTGGGCATGAACTTCGAGCGCCCCACCCCCTCGGGCAAGCGCGTCCAGCTCTCCCTCGTCGCCAACCCCTCCCATCTCGAGGCCGAGGACCCCGTCGTCCTGGGTAAGGCTCGCTCCATCCAGCACTACAACAACGACGAGAAGGAATTCAACACCGCCATGGGCGTCCTGCTCCACGGTGATGCCGCCTTCGCGGCCCAGGGTGTTGTCTACGAGACCATGGGCTTCCACTCCCTGCCCGCCTACTCCACCGGCGGTACCATCCACATCGTCGTCAACAACCAGATCGGTTTCACCACCGACCCTCGTTTCGCTCGCTCGACCCCCTACTGCTCCGACATCGCCAAGTCCATCGACGCCCCCGTCTTCCACGTCAACGGTGACGACGTCGAGGCCGTCAACTACGTCTGCCAGGTCGCCGCCGACTGGCGCGCCGAGTTCAAGCGCGACGTCGTCGTCGACATCGTCTGCTACCGGAAGCAGGGCCACAACGAGACCGACCAGCCCTCGTTCACCCAGCCGCTCATGTACAAGCGCATCGCTGAGCAGAAGGCCCAGCTCGACAAGTACGTCGAGAAGCTCATCACTGAGGGCACCTTCACCCAGGAGGACATTGACGAGCACAAGAAGTGGGTCTGGGGCATGCTGGGCGACAGCTTCGACCGCAGCAAGGACTACACCCCGACCAGCAAGGAGTGGCTGACCTCCGCCTGGAACGGCTTCTCGACCCCCAAGGAGCTGGCCACCGAGGTCCTGCCCCACCTGCCCACCTCCGTCGACCAGCCCCTGCTCCAGCACGTCGCCGGCGTCGTCAGCGACGCCCCCGAGGGCTTCAGCCTGCACCGCAACCTCAAGCGTATCCTGACGAACCGCCGCAAGGTCGTCGAAACCGGCTCGGGCATCGACTGGTCCACCGCCGAGGCCCTGGCCTTTGGTTCGCTGGTCGCCGAGGGCTACCACGTTCGTGTGTCGGGTCAGGACGTCGAGCGCGGTACCTTCTCCCAGCGTCACGCTGTCCTGCACGACCAGGAGACCGAGAACACCTACACCCCCCTGCAGCATGTCAAGGAAGGTCAGGGCAGTTTCGTCATCTCGAACTCGTCCCTGAGTGAATTCGGAACGTATGTTTCTTCCTTCTCTTTTTCACCTTTTTTTTTTTTCTATTGTTTCTTTTATTTTGTACAAAGGCAATCAAACTAACTGATCCAGTCTCGGCTTCGAATACGGTTATTCCCTGACCTCGCCCAACGCGCTGGTCATGTGGGAGGCCCAGTTCGGTGACTTTGCCAACAACGCGCAGTGCATCATCGATCAGTTCATCGCCTCCGGCGAGTCCAAGTGGTTCCAGCGCTCTGGTTTGGTGGTGTCGCTGCCGCACGGGTACGATGGGCAGGGCCCCGAGCACTCGTCCGGCCGTATGGAGCGGTGGTTGCAGCTCTGCAACGAGGAGCCCCGCATCTTCCCGCAGGGCGACAAGCTGGAGCGTCAGCACCAGGACTGCAACATGCAGATCGCCGTCATGACTACCCCGGCTAACCTGTTCCACATCCTGCGTCGCCAGATCCACCGCCAGTTCCGCAAGCGTGAGTCTTCTTTTCTTCGGTGGAATCCTGTTTCAAAAGCTAACTCTTAACAGCCCTGGTGATCTTCTTCTCCAAGGCGCTCCTGCGTCACCCCCTGGCGCGCTCTGATCTTGAGGCGTTCAGCGGAGAGTCGCACTTCCAGTGGATCATCCCCGATGACGCCCACGGCACCGCCATCGACGAGCCCGAGAAGATCGAGCGTGTGATCATGTGCTCAGGCCAGGTGTACGCGGCGCTGACCAAGCACCGTGAGGCCAACGGCATCCGCAACACGGCCATCACTCGCGTCGAGCAGCTGCACCCCTTCCCGTGGTCGCAGCTGAAGGAGAACCTCGACAGCTACCCCAACGCCAAGGACATCGTCTGGGCCCAGGAGGAGCCGCTCAACGCGGGTGCCTGGAGCTACGCCCAGCCGCGCATCGAGACCCTGCTGAACCAGACCGAGCACCACAACCGCCGCCACGTCCTGTACGCCGGCCGTGCGCCCAGCCCGTCCGTGGCCACCGGTCTGAAGTCGGTGCACTTGAAGGAGGAGCAGGAGCTGCTGGAGGCCGCGTTCAGTGTCCACCAGGACCGCCTGAAGGGCGAATAAATCAACCACTACCCCACTACACTATACACCACACCAATCGCAACGGACGGGAGTTGGACTGGGAGAGGACTACTGACTACTTTGTACGACTGCGGCATCGTTTTCTTTTGTTTATAAGGGGCACAGGTTCCTGGATAGCTTGTCTATACCTTGCACGTGTCTGGATCATGTAAATTAAGAACCTGGATATATGGTTTCGTAGTATTTTTACAGTTCTCTTGGTATTTTACAGTTTTTTGAAAAATTTTCATCGTAGTATTTATACAGTTTTGAAGAATGTTCACTTGATAGATATGCATGACGTCATCATGCTCTATGCTGAGTCAGATGTGAATGCCAGATAAATCAGGCCGCTATCACCTGATTCGGCCCGAAGGGAGTCTTGTTCAGTCAGTCATTTCTCCGCACTTCAGCCTCACATTTTCTCCCATCGATCTCATCTCCTCAACTCACCTCAACCCAACCACCACACATGATTCCCCATCACATATGACCCCAATCTTCTTGCATTCTACCCGAATTAATCTAAACCCCGATTGAGAGTCAACACTCAAAATGTCAGCTCTCACAAGCCACGCCGCCATACCCCCATCAACCACATCAACCGCCCCCTCAACAACCACCACCGCAAATCATAATAACAAATCCCGCCAAACACGCACCAACCCCTCCCGCACCTCCAAAACCCAAACCCGCACCTCCTTCGCCTACGGCCGTCATGCGGACAACGTATCTCCCCCCGAGACGTCGTCCGCTCCGCATGGGTTCTATCCTGCGCTGACGCACTTCTCTGATGCGGTTACGGCGCTGCCGAGGGAGTTTAGGAGACATCATTCGCTGTTGAAGGAGGTTGATGCGAAGGCTTGGGCGCTGGAGGAGAATTTGGTGAGGTTGTTGACGGAGTCGGTTTCGGGATCGGGGTCGGGGGCGGTGTCCGGGGGAAGTTTGGAGAGGGCGCCGATTATTGGGGGGGTTGTTAGGGAGGACTTTTTGGATACTGTGAGTTGTTACTTTTTTTTCTTTTCATTTTTTTGCTTGTGTTTTGGGTTGGTTTGGAGGGTGGATGGAGAGAGGGTGGAAAAGAGAATGATCAAAAGAGGTGAAAAATTAGATGGGGGGGAAAGATGAGGAAAATATGAAGAGAGAGAAAATAGTGATGAAGAAAGGGCAAACTGAAGGCTAACTCTATAGAACACACCCCCCGAACCAGAAGAAAGCAAAAATCGTCGCCTCCTCTTCGATCGTGTCCGAACCACCCTCTCCGACCTGATGATGACTGCCGATGAGAAAAACCACGTCGTGTCCAACGCCAACGACGAGCTCGATCGCCAGCTGCTCCGTCTGGATACTATATACCCATACATTGCAGGCGAGATCAGTGAAGAGGCTCGTATGGGCAGTGTCACCCATTGGGCGTACTCCAACCGCAACACGGCCAAGCCACCGGCAAACGAGCGCCCGCGCCGGGAGGCCGCGTCCAACAAGGATCTGGCGCAGGCTCTGCACGAGGCCGAGGCGGCGTCCCGGAGTGAGGCCCGACGCGAGGCCGTTCTCGCCCGTCGGCAGCGTCGCACACACGCGGATTCGGATATGGATGATACTCGCGGCCGCAAGGGACAGGGTAGCAAGTCGCGGGCCGGAGAAGCTGGCCACGGCGCCCAGACCAAGCGGCGCAAGGTCGAGCGGCCGGCGCCTGTCGACGGGGCTGCCATGGAGCGGACGACCAGTGGCACGGGTGCTTCTGGGCGAGGGGTGTCCAAGGACGGAGCGGAGGTGAAGAAACGGGCGCGCGCGCCGAATTCGACCGCTGCGCGAAAGCGGTATGTCATTACAGTCAGAGTGTCTGATTGGTGCTAACGTTGGTAGGAATAATACCGGTGTCTCCGTTGCTGAGTCGCCTGTCCTCGCGCCGTCCCCTCTGGTTGGGGCTGCTGTTCCCCGCACCCACAGCCCTGGGGTTGCTCGACCGCAGTCGTCTCGCGCGCAACAAGGGGCCACAACAAATGGGCGGAGACCGGCCTCGTCCGCGTCTAACAGGACCACCAGTCACAGTATGATCTAATCCCCACCACTTTTCCACCGAGAGTAGCAGAACTGACGGTCCACAGACAAAACCGAACCCAAGCCTCCCAAAGAGACGCCCAAGATGGAGATCGCACCCTCGCAGCCGGACCCACACCGCAAGGAAGACACCCCGGAGACATCGAAGAATCCCATGCCAATAAACACCAAGCGCGAAGACGAGAGCAAGCCCGCCGAGTCGATCGAACCGCGCGACACGCCCGTCCCAACGACATCGCACCCAGCGCCGAAAGGACGATCCTCCAAGACCTCCACACCGGTTACCACATTCTCCGACGCGCACCAGCAACAGCTGCAGCACCAACAACAGCAGCACCACCTCCAACTCCAGCTCCAGCACCAGCAGCACGCACACCAGCAGCACCAGCAGCGTGTGCGCCCAACCCGCAGCACGGACCCGGCCCCCGCCAAACGATCGCACAAGAAGAACGGCAGCATACCAGCGGCGGTGGTGACTCGGGCGCCGTCCGAAGAAGAAGAGTCTTCCTTGCACGAGGGAGAAGGCGACGACGAAGACGACGACGGCGAGCCGCGGTACTGCTACTGCAATGAGATCAGTTTCGGCGAGATGGTCGCGTGCGACAATGACGCTTGTCCACGGGAGTGGTTTCATTTGTCTTGTGTGGGGTTGAGCAAGCCTCCTGGGAAGAATGGTACGCCTTTTCCTCCTTTCTCGTTATACTATGTGTTATTCGAACGTGGCTAACTGGTGCAGTGAAATGGTACTGCAATGAATGCAAGGATAGTATGCGACGGAGCAGGAGTGGGCGGTGATACTACCAAATTGAAGGATATGATAGAACACGCAGTGGGAATATTTGTCAGAGTTCAGGTCGATAATGCTACCCACATACCACATACATGCTACACCCATCCATCCAACTCCAGTAATCCAGCAGCACCAAACCAACAATACTCCATAACAACACAACCAACTTAAATCAAATCAAACAATCAATCTCTCCTCCGCCTCCCCTCTCCACTCCCAGACGCAGCAGAAGCAGCAGAAGAAGCAGAAGCAACAGCAGAAGCCTCCCCCTCCAACCTCCTCCTCAACCCCTCATACCTGCCCCCCTCCCCACCAGACCTCGAACTCGCAAACCCAGACCTAGAACCAGAATCCCTCTCCCCAACAACCCAAGCCGGGACCCTCCACCCACCAACACCACCACCTCTCCTCCCAGAGGACCCCAAAAAGGGCAGCACCTCCGCGCGCCACGCAAGCCCCACACCCCAGCCTATCAGCGCGGGGAGAAACATCGCCGGGAACTGGGACAGGGCGAGTTGCGCCGCGACGAGGTAGACGGGGGATTTGTCGGTTAGGAGGATCCCCATGCCCTTATTGTCTGTTTCTTGTTGGTGTTGGTTTTGATCTTCGGTGGGGTTTGTTGCAGGGTTCGTCGAGGAGGATGTAGACGGAGAGGTAGAAGATGGTGATGAAGAGGAGGTAGATACGCGATAGGAAACCGTATGCGGAACCTCCACATAATACTGCACCAGCAGGGCAAACAACGTAGCCGTCGGACCGGAGGGGAGGTAGTTGAGCTTGTGCAGCGTGAGCGGGCGAAGCACAACGGTGAGTAGTAGCGGCGGGAGGAGGGTCGTGTAGGGCAGTGTTGAGAGGATGAATGTCTATCCACCACCACCATCATCATCATTAGCTTTCTCTTCCATATCATATCCATCCATTGTATGGAAAAAAAACTAGGGGGGGTTTGAAAAAACGAACAGCAACCTTGCGTCCCCCCCACCCCCTCTCCACAACCCTCAAATTATAAACCAGCAGCGCGGCGAACAGCGCCTCCGTGGAATTCGCGAACCCCGCGACCTGCCAGATCAGCGCGCGCCAGAACTGCCCGTACGGCCAGAAGTGCGGGGAGATGTGGATGCTGGCGAGGTGTTTGCTGTCGAGGATGGAGAGGAGCACGGAGGAGGCGATCGTGTAGATTAGGAGGGTGCGGGTTAGGGGCGTGTGTGTTAGGGTGGGGGTTTGCATGTTTCTCTCTCTCTCTTTCTCTCTCTCTCTCTTTATTTATTTATTTCCGCTTTGTTTGTACTCGTTTGTATGCTTGGGGTGGGGGGAAGTGGTTGGATTGGTAGATGCCCGGGTTTGGGGTGTGGTTTCTTTGGAGGGTTGGGGTTGCTGAGGGTCTGTTCTGTTGAGGGTTGCTTTGAAGGTCGTCGGAAGAGGGACGATGTCCCTTGGATCTCAATGACCGTTTCTTCGAAGGATGCAATAGTAGAGTAAGAGATTGTGCTGGTTGGTTGGTATAGGTTCAAGGTAATGAAGTCTCGGAGGTGCGGAGTTTAACACGTCGCATTACTCCGCACCGCATACACCCACCGCATACACCCATACCCATACGCGCATCCCGCTATCAATCAATCAATCAAGCAATCAATCAACCGAGCTCACCGCGGCATGCCGAGTCGATCTCATTACATCAAGTCACCACTACTACAACAGTCTACAAGATAAAAAGTTAAAAATAAACAGAGAAGGGGAAACAATTATTTATTATCCTCTACCATCTTCATCTCCTCCGCCAACGCCTTCTTATACTTCCCCAGCGCAGCCTCCAACGCCCTCACCGTCGGCCCCAGCAACTGCCTAACAGCACCAGCACCCCCCGGCACGCCCTCCAGATTCACGCGCCGGCGTCGCCCCGTCGCCTCGAGCATCTCCCGCGCTTGCCGCTTGAGCTTGTCAACCTCGACCTGGCGCTCCGCTTCGGCGTCGTTAGCGACCGCCGAGATGCGCTCTTGTGCGCGGTTCAGCGATTCAGCTAGCGAGGCGACTTCTCCAGCGCGGTCTGGGTTTCCAGAAAGGAAGGCCTGCCAGAATTGGTGGAGGAATTCGGTCGACGTAGCGTGTGTTAGGGTTAATCGGTCGTAGAGCGCGGTGGACAGGCCGTAAGTGTCGGTCGTGCTGCCTACTTCTGTCTGGGCGCGTCGCTCGCGGATCGCGGTGAGGATTTGCGCCGACGCGCGCTGGAGGCTCGCGCGGGAGCCGACTTGGGGTGGGGCGTTTGTGGAAGGGTCGTCTTCGTTGTCGTCGTCGGGCTCGACGAGCTTGCCGAGTGGGGCGGTGCCGTCGGATGGGAGGTGGTATTCTATTTCGATGCGGAGGTCGTTGAGGATCTTTTCTGGGTCTTGCTGCGAGAAGAGCCGGCTTTGGGCGTCTGCGCTGTCGTTGGTCTGCGAGGAGAAGAAGCGGCTTTGGTCGCGGATGTTGAGCCGGATCCGGTCTTGCGGTTCGTCGCCTCGTAGATCCCGTAGTTGGAGTTGGTTGTATGTCTCTTCGTCGATGCCGCGCGGCGCGTGCGGGTCGCCGTCTGCGGGCGCCACGTTGGCCATGATCTTCTCGCTGAGCGCGTTGAGAGACCGGATGATGGGGACTTTTTCGACCGTCGACGGCCGCATGTCGATGTCTGGGCGGTTCCCGCGTCGCTGGCTGTGGTCCTGGTCGTTGGCGCCCAGGTCCAAGAAGTGAGGCACGTGCATCTCCCGCGGGAGATTCCCCGACTCGTCTGCCTTGAGGTACTTGTCCAGCACGGTGTCGGTCGCGTCCGTTTCCGAGATGCGCTCTCCGCGCAGCTTCTTGAACAGCCGGCTCTGGAAGAAGCGCGACCAGAACTGCTGCTCGCTCAGCTTGGGCACGGTCTCGTCGTACACGCGCTTCACCAGCGGGTGCTGGTTGAAGATCAGCTGGATCTGCTCCTTGCTGATATTCAGCTTCGTTACGTTGTCCTCCACCCGCGGCTTGAGTGTCGATAGCACGTTGTACGACCCCCGCGTCTGCGCCCGCTCGATGGCATGCGCCCGCAGGAGATGCAGCCGTGCGGACCAAAACTGCGACATGAACTGACCCGCCGTCAGGCTATCTGGCTTGGTCTTGAGCAGCTCCGTGAACATGCGCTGCAGGGCCGGGTCCGCCCGGAGCAGCGACTGCTGCAGCTCCACGTCCCACTTCAGCCGCTTGTCGTCGTCCCATGGGTGCGGCCCCGCGCCCGTCTGCGCCGCAGTTACCGCGACCGCCGGTGTTGAGGCGGGCTCCCCGTTTCCGGGTGCCGGTGTGGGCGTCGCGACTGGGGTCATCTGGGTCGACTTGGCGGCTTGGATTGCCGCGCTCAGCGCATCTTTGATGGCGTCGGCTTCCGGACGGGCGTTGTCGCCGGCTGTGAACGAGAAGACGTATTGTTCGGGGGCATTCGGCGCGTTGACGGGGACGACAAAGATCTTGAGCATGACTTTTTGGCTACTCGCGGGGGTTTGCTGCAAGTCTATTCCACATTGTCAGTCAACCGTCGGGGGAAAAAAAAAAAAAAAAAAAAGAATGGAAAGATAGGCAAAGAGGAAAGCACGCACTGGTTATCTGAGAAATTGGCAGTGTGATAGCCCCCGGCCCCCCAGCCGCCGGTGTCCATGAAATGGACTGGCTGTCCTGAGCCATCGTTAGGGTGCCATCTTTCTTCTTGTAGGCCGCCGATCCGCTCGGAGGTGCCATCCTAACTCAACCGCGTCCACTGTCGTGAGCGGCGTATGGGGATCTACCCATCGGGAGACAGACAAGCCCAACGAGAGTCCGGAAGGCGGGACGTATGTCGAAGCCTTCAATAGGGTCGTGGAGTGATGAGAGCGAACGGTATCAGAAAGAAACGAGACGCGGTGGAGCAAATCGATGAGGCAACGGATGTGACACGTGACCTGCACAGACCTATCTCGGAGTTAGTCCCGGAGTTATCCTATACTTATTCCACGGGATAAATAGTCTCTACAGTCCAGTCTACAGTCTACAGACCGATCGGTCAAAATATCAAAATTGGAGAAATCGATTGACTAGCCCATAACACCGTGCTACCACAATAAACGCCAAACTAAACATCCAGACAATGCCATCCGCGATAATGACACATTTTGAAAAACGAACTTCGCCAGAGAGGGGATATCGCAACAGGAGATACTGCAAGACCGTACTCGAACATTCCCAACGCTGAAAAGAGATCGCTCCCGCTATGCAGAATACAACACTCAACCCGTCCAGTAAGAACATCCATCCACGTCCGCGCTGGTCGAAAGCAAAAGATCCATGCGTGACGTGTCCGTCTGCCAAAACAAAAACAAAGACAAGAGAACAGAAGATAAACAGAACAAAACAAAACAAAACAAAAAAAGAAAAAAAAAAACAGATATGAACAAGGGTATAACGTAAACAAAAAAGTATAGCAGAAACGAGTCGGTCATTTCTTGAACATGTAGTGTCCGTAAATCCCACCAACGTCGCCGACGGCGACCGGGATCTTGCGCATGCCCCACCACCGGGCGCCCATCTTCCATCCCCGGGAGCCGTCGTCGACCGGCTGGTTCGGCATCGAGGCGGGGTCCCGAACGTACCAGCCGCGACGACCCAGTTCGCGCACCGTCCAGCCCAGGTTGGTCTTGGCGTTCCGGGTCCGCTCACGCAGGGGCGCAATCAGCTTGTCGCTAAATTCGATGACCTGCAGGGGCCAGCCCTGCTGTCCCAGGAGGAGGCAGGTGCTCGTGTTGAAGACGGTGCCGAGAGACAGCTGGGGCGCACGGTTAAGGTCCAGGTAGCACAGCGCCGAGGGGACCCAGGGGGTCGCCTCCTCGCCGGCGGGTACGGCGGGCGGGGCCAGGAAGGCGTTGATGTTCTGGGCCGACAGCTCGGCGGAGCTCAGGCCCAGCTCCTCCAGGTGCTTGGTCAGGGGCACCAGAGCGTTGGCGTGGGCGGACGTGACCTTGGCGCCGCCCAGGTTGAGGGACCGCAGGGTGGCGGGCAGCTTCGGGAGCAGCCGGGACACGTCCTCCTCGTCGAGCAGCCGGAACCGCGAGGGATCGGTCAGCAAGTTCAAAAAGACCAGCGAGTCGCACACGGCCGGGTGGGTGGTCAAAAAGTCCACGACCCGGGGCCCCCGGAGGCGGGTGCACCGGGACAGGCCCAGGTGGGTGACGCGGGCGGTCTCGGGGATGGCGAACAGGGCCGCCTCGCTGATCTGCGTGTGGGTGACATCGAGGTGGGTCAGGTTGATGAGGCGCGGGAGCAGCGTCTCGAAGGCGGAGGCCGGCAGGCTGCTGCACTCATGCATCGAGAGGCGACGCAGGTTCGGCAGGGTCAGGGGCAGGTTGGGCCCCGCGATCAGGGCCTCCTGGAAGACGGCCGAGAAGGACTGGGTGGAACAGCCGCAGAGGTCGATAGCGGCGAGGTTGGGCAGGCCGGTGAATAACTTGCGCAGCACGTCGACGCTCAGGTCACCTTCCACATGCTCCTGCAGCAGGCACTCGCGCAGGTTGGGCAGGAGGTCGAGGCACTGCAGCAGGGTGCGCGGGGTCAGGTTCTGGATCTCGGCGTTCATCTGCTTGGTGCGTCCCAGCCCCACCGAGGTGAAGTGCGAGAAATCAAGGCGGCGAACCAGCGTGCCGAGCGCGGGATAGGACGACATGTGGTTGAGGGCCTTGGAGAAGATGATGGAGTGCGGGAAGGTCATGTTCCTGTACAACACACCGAGGGTGGCCGCGTGCAACGTCCGGGAGGTGAGCAGGCAGGCAATCAGATCCACGTTGCGCGGTGCGTAGCCGTTGGGCGGGACGTCGATCGCCAGATGAGAGATGATTTGATCTAGACTCTGTCAGCGGGGGGGTTTCTAGGATTCTTCGAATACGACAGGTTCTAGATTCCTTACCGAGAACCTCTGGAGGCATCTTCTCGAGAGGGGACAAGCCCGGGACCGGGGCGGCCTTGGGCTCCTCCTTCTTCACATCGACCTTGGGAGGCGGCGTGGGCGTAGGCGTCGACTCCCAGGCCCAGCCACGCGACTGCATGCCCCCGAGGCTTCGCAGGTCGCTGTAGCTGCGGCTCATGCTCCGGCCTCCCAGTCGGATCTGCTTCCAACCGAGGAAGCCGCCGCAGGGGCAGCAGAATTGCGGCGGTTGCTGCATCTCGGGCCCGGCGGGCGGCTTCTGCTCCTTGGGGGATTCTTCAATGTGAGTATCCACGAACGATTGGGCGATACCTGTCCATTGCCCCAGTTAGCGGCGATCCATAGACCCCCGGAGGATCCCCCGGAGCGGCGGGCATGCTCGGCTTACCGTCAACGTCTTCTTTGATGGAGCCGCACGAGGGACGACGGCGGCTGCTGGAGCGGGAACCGTCGGGCGAGGAGCCAGAGGAAAGAGGCGAGGAGCTGCGTGAGTGGTTCACGGGGGAGGTGTCGCCTGCAGTGATGGTGGAGAGTCGAGGGCAGGAAGGTTTATGGGCGGAGAATCCGGGAGAGGCCATAGCGGAGGACATGATGCAGGTGTCGGCGGGGTGGGAGGGGCCTCTTGGTTCTATATAGGGTACGGACGTAGGGCTCGTCCCAGAATAGGAGAGAGAAAAAGGGCGGAGAGTTTCGTGGGGACACGAAATACCGAACGAGGTCAGAGGAAAAGTGGGATGGTTGTAAAAAAAAAAAAAAAAAAAAAAGTCAAGCGGAAAAGTAAGCTTCGCTTCCCCGGATTCCACAGTTACTTTCCGGTACGGAAAAGATTTTGCACCTGGAAAAAAGTAACGGTAATTTTAATTTTAATTGTTTCTTCCTGATTGAGGAAGAAAAAAAATCAAAATTAATTAAAGGAAGGGGGGGGGGGGGGG